ATGAACTACTGGGACCTCATCAACATAAAAAGCTTTTGCACAACAAAGGAAACAATCAGCAAAACTAAAAGGCAACCTACAGAATAGGAGAAGATATTTGCCAATGACCTATTGAATAAAGGGTTAGTATTCAAAATCTATAAATCTTATTAAACTCCACACCCCAAAATTAAATAATCCAGTCAATAAATGGGCAGAAGACACGAATAATCACTTTTCCAAAAAAGACACCCGGAAGAGACACACGGAAAGTTCAACATCAGTCATCATCAGGGAAATACAAATCAAACCCACAATGAGATACCATCTCACACCTTTCAGAATGGTTAAAAAGTAACAACTCAGGAAAAAAAAAGAAATGTTGGTGAGGATGCATAGAAAGGGAACCCTTTTGCACTGTTGGTGGGAATACAAACTGGTACAGCCACCCTGGAAAACAGCATGGAGGTTCTTCAAATAGTTAACAATAGGACTACCCTACAACTCAGTAATTGCACTATTAGGAATTTATCCAAAAGACACAAAAAAATGCTCATTTGAAGGAGCACATGCACCCCAATGTTTACGTCAGTCTATCAACATTAGCCAAATTATGGAACGAGCCCAAACGTCCATCAACTGATGAATGGATTAAAAAAAAAAGAGGTGCACACACACAAAATGGAATATTAACTGGCCATCAAAAAAAATTGCCATTTGCAGCAACATGAATGGAACTGGAGTATATTATGCTAAGCAAAGCCAAATAATTCACTCAGAGAAGACAAGTGTCATATGATTTCACTCAGGTGGAATTTTAGAAACAAAACAGATGAACATAGTGGAAGGGAAAGTAAAAGGATAAAAACAGGCTGAGGTTTGCTGGAGGCGGGTGGGCTAAATGGGTGCTGAGCATTAAAGAGGCCACTGGTTGTGATGAGCACTGGGTGTTCTACGTATGTGAAAAATCCCTACATTCTACTCTTGAAACCAATAAAAAATGTTCATACTACCAAAAGCAATCGATATTCAATGTAAAGCCTATCAAAATACCAAAAGAATTTTTCACAGAACTAGAACAAATAATCCTAAAATTTGTATGGAACCACAATAGACCCCAAATAGCCAAAGTAATCTTAAGAGCAAAGCTGGAGGTATCATAATTCTGGATTTCAACTTATATTACAGAGCTGTAGGATTCAAAACAGTATGGTACTGGTATAAAAACAGACACATAAATCAATGGAACAGAATATACAGTCCAAAAATAAACCCACAAGAATATACAATAGGGAAAAGACAGTCTGTTCATCAAATAGTACTGGGAAAACTGAAAAACTACCTGTCAAAAAAATGAAACTGAACCACTTTCTTACACCATGCACAAAAATAGCCTCAAAATGGATTAAACACCTTATGTTTAAACATTTTATGAAGCCATAAAACTAGAAGAAATATAGGCAGTAATTTGTTTGATACCAGCTGTAGCTACATTTTTCTAGACATGTTTCCTGAGGCAAGAGAAACAAAACCAAAAATTAACTACAGGGACTACACCAAAATAGAAAGCTTTTGCACAGCAAAGGAAACAATTAACAAAACAAAAAATCCTACTGAGAGAAGATATTTGCAAATGATATATCCAATAAGGGGTTAATATACCAGATATATAAAGAACTTAAACAACTCAACACTAAAATTTTAAAAATCCAAGGAAATAATGGGCAGAGAAATTCGATAGACATTTTTCCCGACAAGACATACAAATGGGCAATAGACACATGAAAAGATACTCAACATCACTTATCACCAGGAAAATGAAAATCAAAACCACAATAAGATATCACCTCACACCTGTCAGAATGGCTAATATAGAAAACAGAAGAAAAGCAAGAGTTGGTGAGGATGTGGAGAAAAGGGAATCCTTGGGACTGTTGGTGGAAATGCAAACTAATGCAGTCAATTAGAAAACAGTACTGAGGTTCCTCAAACAATTAAAATAGAATTACCATATGATCCAGTTATCCCATTACTGAGTATCTACCCAAAGACAATGAAAACACTAATTCAAAAAAGATATGCATCCCCATGTTTAGTGTACCATTATTTACAATAGCCAAGATATGGAAGCAACCCAAGTGTCCAATGACAGATGAATGCATAAAGATGTGGTGTGTACCTGTGCGTGCACATGCATGTGCACACACGCACGCACACACACACACATGGACACACACCAGAATATTGCTTGGCCATAAAGAACGATGAAATCTTGCAATTTGCAACAAGATGCATGGACCTAGAGGGTATGATGTTAACTAAAATAAGTCAGAGAGAGACCAATACATATGATTTCACTCATTTGTGGAATTTAAAAAACAAAAACAAAACTAACAAAGAAAAAATGAGATAAACAAAAGACTCTTAAATACAGAGAACAGAGGGAGGGGGACACAGGTGAAACAGATAAATAGGAATAAGTGCACCCTTCTCTTGATGAGCACTGAGTAATATACAGAACTGTTGAATCACTATATTGTACACCTGAAATTAATATAACATTGTATGTTAACTACTTTGGAGTTAAAATTTTAAAAACAGGACACTTATTGTGATAATCACTAACGCACAGAGTCATTGAATCATATAAAATATCTAAAACTAATAAAACATTGTGTGTTAATTATACTTAAATAAAAAAATAAAATGCACCCCTCATTTCTTCCCCAGAGTTTTCTGTACTCTGCCCTTTTCTTTTTTGAACACGCTTATCTTTTAAAATAATCTAAAATTTCCATTTTTATCATGTTGTTTATCTCACTCCACTAGACTATAAACTCAGTGAAGGTAGTAATCTTTTTATATTTCATTCACTGATATATACAAGTGTCTCAAACAGAAATGACACAGTGTTGGTACTCAAGTACCTACTGAATTTAATTGAGTGGGGTATTTCTGCTATGACCAATGCCAACGACTATAGAAGGAAAGTGTACCCAACTGGCAGAGAGTCTCTGAGAAGTGGAGGCTGTGCGCCAGGCCCCATAAGTAACAAGTGTCACCTCATTTCATTGTAAGTGATGTTGAAGTAGAATATGTCCATTAATATTCCTGGTATTGGACAGGTTTTATGGAACAAAGGGACAATCCAAGCGTCTTGACCACTGCTCTTTTTTACTATCACTAAGAAGGCAGAAGACAGTTTCTGGGGCACCTGGGTGACTCAATCAGTTAATTATCTGACTCTTGTCTCAAGTCATGATCCCAGGGTCATGAAATCGAGCCACCTGACAGGCTGTGTGTGGACAGTGTAGAGCCTGCTTGGGATTCTCTCTCTCCCTCTCTTTCTGCTCCCTTCCTGCTGTCTCCCTCCCTCCCTCTCTCTAAACAAATAAACATTTTTTAAATAAAAAAAAGAATATCAGTTTTTGTTTTATTCTTTTGGACTATAGAAGCAGAAAAGTATTAACGTTGCTAAATACTTCCAGTTACCATGCTGGTGGGGATGGAAAATGCTCTCATTATATTCCCATATCTTCCGAAATCACAACTAAACCTGTTTTAATTTTAATAATGGTTTCAATGAGTTTTTTAAAAGTCTCTACTATGTACCAATCCCTGAGGTAAGTGCTTTTGTTTGACACTGACAATATGGTGGAAAGTCCATGGCTGTAACCTGCTGCCATCAATACAGGGTAACACTACAAGTGTGCATCAACAACACAGAAACCTCTGCTAAACTGTCATTTCTGCTACAAATTTATTCTGACGAACGTGTAGAATTTTGATGAACTCTTACCTGTTGGAACAATGCCAAGAAACACAGGACTAACTAAATAAGTCAGATCAATTTCCTGTCATACAAATTCAACACAATGTGTCTTTGTCGATGTCTAATGTCGGTCCTTTTACTGCCCTTGAAATGGTCTCAATGATAGGTTAGTCAATTGTGGAGACTAAGTACAATCTCAACTACATAGGATTTAAAAAAAAAAAAAAAAAACTCTTTTATCCCTAACATATAAATGATGGTTACATTAATATCATTCTATAGCTTTGGCTCTTAACTATCTTATAGCTTTATTCTGGTACAATAAAAACTGTTAAGGGAAATGAGGAAATAGCACAGGGATTATTGCTCTTAGCATTTAGTAGTGTTAGAGCCTTGATGCTTGTTTGCATTTGCTCGGAATAAGTATCTAAGGGAAAATTAAGTTCTAAGCGGAGGCTACTATTTGAAATCCCAGAAGGGGCTCCTGGGAATAGTTTGGCTTCTTTGTGACCATAGATTTTCTGATGAAGTACACCATTCCCTAATGAAAAAGACCTGGCACTGCTTCACCTGGTAAAATCTGATCAACGCAAGGAACGTGATGATCGGTTTGGGAATGAGTATTTTAATAAAAGAAACATGAAATTGGCTGTGCTTTGGCAGGACATATCCCCACACATCCTGAGAGCCACTGTCCTGGCCCACAGATGATCCCCACCACGCCACAACCTTGTGAGTTCCCACTGACATCACTGACAATGCTGGCATGGGGACAAAGGGCTGATCCAAAAGCAGTCACGATGGCTTCTGCTTCGTTAGAGTCACATGAAAAACAAATCAACTTCCCTGCCCCCTATCCTACCTCCCCCACCCCCCCACCCCCCAAAAAACCCATACCTGGGAATAGTAGGCTCAGCACAGCTATTCAATACGTACATTTCTAGGGAAGCATATAAAACAGGGAAAGGAAAACAGCAATTGTAGAAAGGAAAAGGCAAATCTTGAAAAAGAATGATGCAGTAAAATGATAAACGTGAAATAAAGAAGATGAAAAATGCAGACTCTGAATTATCCACATCACAGGACTGCTGAACATCTTAACTCTGGAACAATAGGCCAGCTAGTTGAGGAGGGGATCACACCTGTTTTTAACCACGTTTTATAACAAGATACCAATGCAGTAAGATTTTTACTGCAGTGATAATACTGAAGTTTACATATTCATTAATAAAAAATGCATCTCCATTACCCGCATAAATGCTTGATGTGTTCTACAGTTAACTGCTTTGCTTGACACTTTTATGCTGCTTGTCATCACATCGGATGTTCCATTAGAAGAAAAGTAAAATCTTGATGGGGATTCTATCTTCCGGTGCACATCCAGACTCATGTTATAGAACAAAACTGCAAAAATGTAGAGAGAACTGCAGTTAACACAGGTAAGTACCTAAAAGCATTTACTGTTTTTGAAATGAAAATAGTCAAAATGATATCCAATATTCTCTTATTTAAATGGCTTTTCAAAACTAACGTAAAATATGGAAGAGGAAACAGTGAAAACACAAATTGCAAAAATTGTGACAAAAATTCATCAGCTTTTCTCCAGGTTTCTATTTTTAACTGCTAACATATGCAGGTATTTACTTAATCTTCCTATATATATTTCAAAGCTACAATACTAAAACTGTAACTACTAATAAAGTTCTGAGTCTCATATTTCTTTGGAGTCCCTTTTTGTTCTTACAATGTCTGACTAAGGAAGCACAGACAGAATACTGTACTCACATATCACTTGCAATAATTCTATCTTGTGTGGTTCCATAATTAATTTTGAACACAGTGGGGTTCAATATTGTTTCTGTTTTGAGAGGTCACTAATTTTTATTATTTTTTAAAATGTAAAGTGAACAAATCATTCACAAGTCAAACCTATATAAACAGTTCACCCAAAGATGTCTCCTTTTCCAGCCCTAGACCCTGATTAGTCTCCTCCATGTTTTTACTGGTTTCCAGTTTGATTCTTCCAGTGTATTTGTGCCACATATAGACATCTTCTGAATAAATATTCTGGCAGTTTAGTAAGATTTACTTCAAATATGACATAGTAGATAATCATCAGCCAAAGAACATCCTCAATAAGCAAAAATAGAAGGAAAATTAACAAGCAACCAAAAAAATTCCAAGGCAGATACTACAAAGAAAGTGAGAGCAATTTTTTAATCTAAAAGAATTCTTTGCAAAACAAGCTACATTTAAAAGTCAGCTGCGATATTGCTCATTATATAGGAGCAATAATTCAAAGTGGTATTTTAAAGAGTTTATATAATTCCCGAAGTGTTCATTTACATCTTGGGAGTAACTTATTCTCTCAGAAGGATTTTATCTACTTATTTCAAGGAAACATAAAACCTGTATTACTCCTACAAGTTTCAAATAAATCTTTTAACCTGAGTTTTATTTAGAAAATAAACAATGAAGTCCCAATCAATTGGCTTCAAAATTACAATAACGGAGATTCAGTGCCTCAGAGGTGGAACAGCAATTGAAACAGCCATCTACAATTCATCACCATGAGTACAGACAAAAAGAAAAAAATGGGTGAATAAAAATACACTCACAGTAAGCAGCAAAACATTCTGGTTTCATGAAACATGCTTACCGTGTGAATTATTTCTCCCAAGGACGCATTCTATGCAACTATAACGCTTGCTTTTGTAACAATGCTGTGATCATTTACGACTTTCATGCATTGTTTTCAACCATTTTTAAAAACATCTGGTCACAATGGAATTAGTAATAAAACAAACATGGATTTTACATAAAGGGAGATAGTCGTATCTATTTAACATGCATCTTTCAGCTAATCCATTAGTTTGCCTGTGCCACTGGGGTCAGACTCTGAAACTAACACTTCTTCGATCTGTAACTGGGTTAAGCTTTTGCCCACTGTTGTACAACTGTATGCCTAGCCAGGACTTTTGCAGTGCACTATGAAAAGTCAGTTTGTTCTAAAGTAGATATACAAGGCTCATTCTGTATTTCTCATTACAGGCTAATTCAGAAGGAGACTTCTGTTAACATACCCGTCATTTGGTTCGGTGTATTTGCTGCCCTTTGTGATATTTAGATCATGGGAGCCTGTAGGGTCATGAATACTATCAACTCTTGATAAAGTTCATGAGCCACCCAATACCTAATTTTAATGTCCAATTCATAAACCCAAGTATGCCACTCTCCTACCACTGACTAGTTTCATTAGTAGTTATTCTAATACTAGCTTAAGTTTACATAATTAGGAACATAAGCTGCTAGAAAAAAACTTAATGTTCATAAAGTCATATATATGTGACTTGAGATTAACCACAATTTTGCACAAGCCTTATCGATGCAATTTTCTGCAGAGCAGGTAACTGAGAACTACCTATATAAAGGAATGGACATGACTCTCAAGAGCTGACAGTCATAGAAAATCCTTAAGAGATGTGTGTTATTTATGGAAACTGAAATCAAGGTCTAGATGTGAGATAAGCTTCTTCAATCACTCAAAGGAGAAAACAATCTGCCTCTCAGGACTTCCAATTAATACAGCTCCCGCTGTGAAAGGACCCAGTTAAACAAAGGAGAAGCTGTGGTAATGTTCTTTCTATTCTAAAGATATTTTATATATTAAGTTCAATTTAACTCACCCCATTTTAGCAAGTGATACTCTTGATTTACTTCTTGTCGTGACTTCTAGAAAACTATATATAGCCTCCTACTGTTCCCCACTCACTGGTTAGAATAACTTGAGAATCCAAAAGATGAGGCAGAAAGGTGTATTCACCTCTAAGGTGAAACAAAGTCAGGGCTCAGAAGACGACCATGGGATTCATGAGTGCAGTGCACACTCAAGGGAAATGCTGTAAGGCCATCCTTACCAATATAACCTGGAACCTCTTTGCCCTTGTATGAGAAACACAGTGTTAGATCCATGCACACAGAAGGCAATCCATTTTCAACACAGTCAAAATTTGTTCTATTTACTGACTCAGGATGCTTTAAAGAAGCTTCAACGATCACTACGGGTCTTGTCCTAAGAAGGAAATAAAATTAGCAATATTACTTTTCCTTTAGAAAAAAAAACTGCGTTTGTTTTGTCAGTTTCCATTGACCAAGTGACTTCATGAAATTGCTTTATTAGGAGCAAGTGCACATATACACAATTACATTTCTGTGCACGAATCAAGAAAAATTTTCACCTGAATTTCTAAAAATGTTCACTTTGCCTGAGGATTTAATTATAATATCCACGTAAGGTGGAAATACAATCCTAAGGTTCAATAAAACTTCCTAATACCAAGAAAAAAGCATTATGAGGTCACCACCGGTGATTTTAAAAACTGCCTCCCATCATTCACAATTAAGCGCAACTGGCATTCAGCAGTGCAATGCATCAACCTTACCTCAGCAACACAGCAGAATCGGACCGGAAAGCACCAACGGCCACATCTGGAGGATGAAAAACAGCAGATTAATGAACATCATTAGTCAGAGAGAGTTACTTTTCAGCCATAAATACCTATGTATCACCTTTTGACTGTATCCAAACACTATTTACAGAAAATTAATTGCCAGAGAGAAACTTACATCTTAGGATTCTTTCCACATTTGTCGGAGTCTATAATAACATTCATCCCTTTACAATGTAAATAAACTTTATGATAAAGGCTTATAATATAAGCTTACCAAAAAAATTCAATTTTTAGACTATACATAGTCACCCAGGAATCTCCTCTCAAGGTACAAAAAATGTCTTTCTTTTCAGTACCTTGTGTTTATTTCCATGGGTGCTCTTCATTTTTTTCAAGAACAAGGGAAAAATGTCAAGTAACTAACACAGTAAACTGATTAATTACTTGACCATTTCTGACCCATCCTTCAATTCAAAAGAGCTTTAGAAAGGAAAGAAACAAATTATCAGTAAATTAGAACTTTTCCATACCAGCTCTACGTGATAAAGCAACACCATGATAGAGCTCATTTCAACTTATGAAATAGTCAGTTTTCTACTCACCTACATATCCATTATTATCTGCGTCAATTTGTCCAGATATAGACTGTCCAAACATACTTAATGATTGGCTGATTTGAAGTCCTTCAATTCTCTGAAAAATCGGTAAATAGGAAGCAGTCTTTTAACATTCAAGTATCTCAAAAAATATCTCAAAGAAGCAATGGTCTAGTTCAATTATGAACCTTATAACACCTAGGCACATTTACTAACAAAATGCATTTATGTCAAATGCTTGGTTCTAAGAGAAATGAAAGTTGCCAGCTTGAATTAAGCAGGTAACATCTATTTTGTGACAAGAAAAAAGTCACCTTCTGACTGAAAAAGTCACAAAAAGAAAATTATACAGAATGGATCTTAAGCGGTCCTGGTTTTCTCTCCCCATTCTTCTTTTAGGCTCTATATTTATTTCCCAGATGAACATGAATAACCAGAGTAATTTGGAAAATGAGACATATGATCTCTTACTGGAGCCTGCTACTAAGGCTTATGATGAAAGTCACCCCATTTAGCCAGATTGCTTCCTAGTATGTGAAAACTGACGTCAGACATGTGTTTCCTATTCCATATATCTAATTTCACACCCAGATACTGATTTATCCGTGTTTGGCTGCTATCCATACTAAGAAAATAATTTTTACTAGACAAGTACAGATGCTTCATGTTCAATATGGAGAAGCATTTACCTATTCTGCTCAATCAGAAATAGCAGTATTAGCTAATATTTCCACAAACGGATCTTTAGAAAAACCTTTCTTTTCTGCATATGTATGGAGTGTTTCCTAATGCACTGAAATATCCTGATTTATCAAAAAGCAAAAGTAAAGTCAGAGTTAGACCAGGGAACTTTATTAAAAGCTCCCATCTTGCGGCTGTTTCCTGAAAGAATCAGAGTGTCATGTGTTTGCTCTCCCTGTGCGACCTCCCTGAAACATGGGGCTTTAGGCACACGGGAAGACAGTTAATCAAATCCACGTGGGCTTATCTGAAATTGTACGGATACGATCTCAGAACATAAACTTGATGGAATGAAGAGGAAATTTTTTAAAGTTTATTTATTTTGAGAGAGAGAGAGATAGAGTGTGAGTGAGCATGCATGCACGTGTATGAGTGGGTGGGGGGCAGAGAGAGGGAGGAAGAGAATCCCAAGCAGGCTCCCACACTGTCAGTGCAGAGCCAAAGTGGGGCTCAGTCCCATGAACCATGAGATCACGCTCTGAACCGAAATCAAGAGGTGGACGCTCAAGTGATTGAGCCACCCGTGTGTCCCGAGAGGAAATCTTTACTAGATTAAATACAAACTAGAATGGACATGAACCAGAACACTTAATTATGGAGAAAATCTGTGATTCCAGAGTTATTAATGACCTTCAAAATGAGACCAACTACTGTTATTACAAGAAAAAAGGTGAAATAGACTATGTTAAGTACCTGAAAGAGGAAATATAAGAAAAATAAATCCACATTAACACTACAAGTTTCAGGAACTGTTTATCAACAATGCTTCTCTTGAAAATGAAATAGTATCCTACCTGTGAGAACGTTGGCGAGACCCCATCTGCTCGGCCATTGTAAATATAAATAGCACCTCTCAAGTCATCTTCTTGCGGAGCTCCAATAGCAACATCTGTGCAAGAATTTAAATGGCAGAAAAATAAATTCTTACTAGAAAGAATTCAACTCTGAAACCTAACTTTCATGCTACTTAATTTATATCACATATGAAAACTCCTTATCAAGAAACGAATACTTTACTCACTAGATAGGAAGAAAAACATCACAAAATACAATTATCGTTGTAACAATGTGCAGGATGGTGTAAAAAATTTGTGCATGGAAGAAGCAGAGTGAATGGCTCTGAAACATACCCTAGTCATAGTTAAGGGCCTGGGCTCTACAGCCAAACCACCAAATCATGGGGCAGCTTGGCCCACTTCTTAACCCATTCTGTGTCTCAGTTCCCTCACATCTAGCCTGGGATCATAAGAGAACTCCTCCTCAGCATGGTACATAACTCATACAGTGCTTAGAGCAGACCTGGGCACATAATAAATTATCATCTGTAAATATTACAACCTTAAGAGTCTTTATTATGAGCTCTGGGTTTTACTTTATTTGCAAAAGTCCCTCTAAATTACTTCCTGTTCCAATGGAAATAATTAAGGTATTTGTTAAGGATATCTGTATACACACATGTACAAACATGCAAACTGGATTTTAGACACTGAATTTGTTCTGTGAAGTAATGACGGCATTACCTTTATGACTTTATTGATACTTGTAGCAGATTATGACGCCAAGAGAAAAAATAAAGTGTTCATCAACTGACATAAGCAAAAGGAAATGACTAGGAATGACACGATTGCTTAAGGGCCATAAATATACAACAAACAGGAGAATAATAATATTCTATAGCTGCAAGAGCATTTCATTAGTTTTACAAGGTCTATGTCTATTTATTTGGGTTTATTCACAGGTTCGTTTACATGTAATGTTTTCTTATTACTTTCATAGAAACCCAAAATAAAGTTTGCTTTCATGATAGTCCATACTTCTTAGTTTATCAGATCTGAAACTTTTTTAACTATGGTGGTAATTTTTTTTTAATTTTTTTTTTTTTTACAAATAGTTTATTGTCAAATTCGTTTCCACATAACACCCAGTGCTCTTCCCCACAAGTGCCCTCCTCCATGCCCATTCCCCTCTCCCCGCCACATCCATCAGTCCTCAGTTTTTGTCAGCATTCAAGAGTCTCTCATGGTTTGCCTTATGGTGGTAATTTCTGACTGCTATTTCAATGAGAATAAATGCCTCTTTGATAGGAGTATATGCGAAATTCTGTACAATTTCTAATAGCATCTAAAAGTAAATGATAGACCTACCTTATATCTATTGTTTAGATATAGTAAGGTTGCTCTCTTTTGACTTGTGCAAATTATTTTAAATTCTCATATGCAACTACACCCATTCATGGATTTATTCAGTGGAAAACTATTGAGCACATATTGTATTCTGGGCATTTACCAGAAACCAGCCATACAGGACAGTGCCATGAAAAGGAGCCTTAGTCTAGCAGGGATGAAGAGAAAGTAAAACCAGAATAAAAACACTACATATGAGAAGGTGGTAGAAATTAGGAAAGGCCCTGCATAGAAGAGAACACCTGAGCTGAGATTTAAGTATTGACAGGTCATAGCCAGGTGAAAAAAAGGGGTAAAAACATTTTTGACAGAGGCAGTAGCCTGCATAATGACAGGGCACTAAGGGACAACATGGGACACATGATCAATGGCAATTAGTTTGAAATAGCTAGAGCCATATATGTGCAAACTAAACACTCACAGGTACATAAGGGGAAAGAGTGGGAAGGAAAACAGAAAAGCCAAGAGGAAGAGGGAGGTAAGGGAAAGGATGGGGGGGAATGTATCCTGTGGCCGCTGAAAACAAGACCAGTTACGGGTGCCAGTAGTCATGGCCGGTTTATACTTCAACTACTGTGGTTACATCATTAGTAACTAGAGTCCTGTATCTTCATTCTTGATGATATATAAAGATAACAAGTCTGGGGCTGAGAAGCTATGGATCCACAGAAATTCTTGCAAGATCAGTTACTGGCACTAGTGATGTCAGCCAAATATCTTGAAACAATACAGATATGCCTTTTCAAATGAAATATGAAAAGGCTCAAATCAATGCCATTTCAAGTAGAAGACTTGTGCGTTATATTCAGTCTTTTCCTATCTTATATATAGATCGAAATTTTTATTAGGATTAAATTTGGATGTGTTACAGAACATACTAAATTTTAGCAACTGTTAGAGGAATAAGGAAAATATGTAATAATGTTTTTTTTTCATGCCTATTCCAGTCAATTTGGGACACAACCTATAGAACAAACACTGACACTTTTTTCTTTTTATCTGAAAATTTTATTTCATTGGTACAAACTGTAACAATTATTGGTAAAATCAGAATAATTTTAACATCAGCTAACACTGGAAATAAATGCAACTTTTATTATAATTCAGGCACTGTACTAGGGGCTTTCTCATGTAACTCTTACAACTGTATCAGATAAGTACTTTTTGATTGCAACTTTGATGAGGAAACTGAGGCACAGAGTATAACTTGCTATAGTCATGGAGCTAGGATATGAAGAAGCCAGGATATTAGAGCCGCCATCTGGCTCCCAGAGCCTCTGTTCGCCTATCACTATGCTCTACAGAACCATGAACACTACAGACTATCTCCAGTGTTCTCCTCTCCTGCAAACTTTTCCTGTTCTTTGTCAAAGAACTGCTCAGTTAATGATCTTATAATTTATCAACATTTCAGGGGCACATAAATAATACATAGCTTATACTTTACAATTATAGAATTTCATTATGGCTCTGCTTAGAAGCTACTTGAACATATAGTCTCAAAGTCAATAATGTTCAAGGTGAAAAATCTAAACCAAAATAGAAGTGGTTTTGTCGTATCGATTTTATGAATGAAATCCAAAGTGCTGTCAGTTGTGTCTGTCATGTAGGTTTATGCATGTACCTCTTCCCTAACTTCCTCACACTCTGAGGAGATTTTTATGCTGGACTCTTGCCAAAGTGGTTATGTCCTCAGAAAATAGCTTGCATTGCTTTTCTAAGTACACAGGAAATTCAGCCTGATTTTTCCAATTGAATTAAAAAAAAAAAAAAAAAAAGACCTAATGAATCAAAAGTAACTTGTCCGCTATACAAAGCATCACAAAAGTGTGCCTAGTAAGAGGACTTTAAGTCTATTTGCATCTGTGACTGGACATGGAAGGGAAAAGAACAGGTGAGATCTTCATCCCTTTTTATACAATCCCACCCACACTGCCATGAACACAAAGTAACTTCACCATCTACCCCAGAACAATTAAGATAGAAGATGCAGTAGAAGAATAGGCAAATAAAGAAATGTAAAACATAGGTGCCTTGCTTTCTCACCCAGGCAGATATGTTAGAAAGGAATTAAAGGTCTCAGCGAAGAAGGACAACACTCTGAGCCCACTTCCAAATCAGCACAGTCTTGTTAAGGTCTAAACCGTGCAAAATGCTTACCCGTTGGCAAAATTAAAATGTCAACTTGCCCATAAAAAAGCAATCAATCCTGACATTGTGGCAACATGTATGAATTCTGAGGGCATTTTGCTCAGTGAAATGAAAGACTAACACTGTAGAATCTCACTTTTACATGTGGACTCTAAAACAATTCAAACTCACAGGAACAGATCAGATTGGTGGCTGCCAGAGTGGAGGGGTAGGGGAAGGAGGTGAAAAGGTCAAAGGATACAGACTTCTTGTTTGAAGATACAGTTCTAGAGATGCCAGGTACAGTGTAATGACTAGAGTTAGCAATACTGTATTGTTTCTTTCAAAGTTGCTAAGAAAGTAGATCTTAAGTTATCACAAGGTAAAAAAATTAACTATGTGAGGGAGAAGATGTTAACTAGACTCAAGGTGGTAGTTATTTTGTACTACATCCACATACTAAGTCATTATGTTGTGTACCTTCTACTTATATGATGTTGAACTGCAGTTACATCTCAATAAAACTAAAAAAATTACAACTGATAAAGTAGAAAAAGATACACAAGCATGCACTGAAGCGAATCAGCGTTAACATAGCCACTAAATGTCAACATGCAGTGGATTATCAATGAAACTGGAATAGCACAAAAATCCATAGAAATATTAGAAATAATCACTTGAATACAATCTTCCACACATAAAGCCATTACCTTTAGGAGTCAAGAGCTGAAGACTCCAGGACACAAAGTCCTGTCTGAAACCTAGGCTCTCACATGCACTCTGGAAGACTGCCTTGTGCCCTCAATGTCTCCCCCAGTTCCTTTTCCTAACGCTCACGGACAGAACATTTTCTGTCTGTCCTCATACACTGTGGGAAATCTGCCTGGGATTCTCCTAGCTACTGCAGTAGTGTCTATGACATTTTTACCACTCTACCAGACTTTAAGAACTAATTCAGTTTGGTCACTGACATTTTGATGCCACAAAAAAAAAAAGTCACTTCTCATGTGCATGCACACATGTATTATTTTAGTACATTCAAAATATCAAATAGTCTTCCTCAAATGTGTCAATTAAAACAAGATGTACAAGGGATCATAATATTTTACTAAATGGTTTTCTTTTTAAAGGAAAGTACGTTATCTTATAATATACATGAAATGTCAAAGTGCATGAATATAGCTTTATCCATAGATATTTATTAGGTAGAATCCTTAAATTTACCACTTAGGTTTTTTTTCTTTAATGTGTTAAATTTACATTCCATATAATTTTAACATATAGAAAAGGGTGTCACTCTTTGTTCACATTTATTATGGAATATACCCTCCACCTGGTACATCTGACACAAAGTAAGTGGGCAATAAACATCAAAATTGCTGACTCTTGTGAAATATATCATAATAAAACCTCACAGAAGTTTTAAAGTAAAGCTTATGTGTAATCATAATAACCTTAATATATATATGTATTCTTTTATTTTAAGATGATAAAACTGTAGAAATGGTACTATTTGTACACCAAATTACACTCTTACATTTAATAGTGTTCATATATTCAATGTGATATATATTCAATATATATTTAAAGTATTCAATATATAGTCAGTTACCCACTAACTTTCTTCTTGAAGACCAACACATTTTAAACAAAGTAGAGTGAAGTATTTTGGAATAACAGAATTAAAAATCTTAAGTGAGAACTTCTAGTACTCCCTCACCTATTTCCAGTATCCAACTCAGTTTTGACTACTATTACTATATACCAATTGCTAATGACTACATTAAGAAGACAGACAATTCTGAGCCCTAAAGGTATCAAATACTTATTTGCTAAACTCTAGAAATTGCACACCCTCCTTTCGAACCCATTCATCATCCTATGCACAACTTTACCAGACTTGGTTACCACTCTGCATTCAACTGAAAAAAGTAACTTTTAGGAAGAAAGGCTGATAGACACAGGTATTTCAACAGCAGGGTTCATATCCAGGCAACAGGCACAGTTATGACAGAACTATCTAGTGCATTAGGGAGTGGCTTCCATATTAGTTGGTAAATAGCCACTATCACTGCATCTGCCAGTTGCCCCTCACCACTGCCTAGCATGCTCTCCTGCCATTCCCCAAATCCTCCCACCACATAGCACCTGAACAAGGGATGCCTGGCACAATGGGGGTCATCTAGAACCCTGAAACCAGCCTCTGCTGAGTCTTTACTGTACATACTTTATTGTACATAGGGTTAAATAGGATGGTCTAAGGAGTCTGTGGTCAATTAAGAATCAGTAACTAACCAGTGAGGAGAAGTCCGTAGAACAAAAAGAAAATGAGCTTAGCATAACATTCTGGCTCCATTTTCCATAGCAAGGCTAAAACTCCAATCATACTGTCTTCCATGTTCCATTTTAAAAACAGAAATCAAGTACCAAATTAGAAACTTTTCATTACCTTCAAAGCCATCATTATCAATGTCACCAAGATTAACAATAGATTCCCCAAATCTTGCAGCATATTTGTCACTTCCAAGGAGCTCTGTTTCCATTTCATTCATTACTGCTCCCTAGACAGAAAGGGGGAGAAAAGATGTCATTATGACCCTCTCTGACAACTTTACACATGATTTACTGTTGTAATTGGATATGGATTTTTTTCCTAATGCTTCAAACAAGTTGGACAAACTACAGATTGAGCTTTAGTACACACATCTCCATTCCATTCAATAAATATTTATCAAGTATGTCAACACATAATAGTATGATTAGAGCTCAGAAGCCATAAAGTTCTCAAACTTTGAATCCCTAGCTTTGAAAATCCAATAAATCACTTTGATAATTCAATTTAGCAAATGTTTATTGAGTACCTACTAAAGGCAATGCACTATGCAAAAGGGAAGAGGCAAGGAAAACAAAGAGGTGTGTGTAGAAGACAGAATCCCCTTCCTGAAGAAGCCCAGCTACATGGAAGGCTTAGCACAAACATGTAAATGACTAAGAAGCACACACTGCTTTGTATTATCAAGAAGCAAAGACAGCATATCTAACTGTAAAGCAAGTAGAGATTTCATAAAAGATGGTATTCAAGGTGGCTGAAGGATGGACACGATTTTGATACGTAGAGAATACAATCAGCAAAACTAATTTCCAGAGAATTTGGCTGTTAGGAATGGTATGTGTAATGAAGGAGACCAAAATGAAAAAACTGAAGTGTTATGGTGTGGAATTCTGAATACTGAGGAAAATTTACTCTCAATTTAGGGACTAGGAAGCCACTGAAAGCTTCTGAGTTGAGGAGTTGGCACAACAGAGCCGGTCTTTTGAGCCTTATACTAGCAGCACTGAAACACGGATTGGTCAACTGCCATCTCTTAAGCTGGAAGAGGAGTTATTATAAGACATTCAATAATGTTGCCATAATGAGCCACTGCAGTAACAACTGCCAAACAAACAAAAAATCCATGCACTCATCATGGATCCTTTCCTCTTCTCAAACAAGTCTTTTCATCCGTTCCTAATTACACATGTTCTTTTCCTTGTGGTTGTGAAACATCCTTCCACTTTTTCTTTTCCAACTAAACAACTCCTAAACTGGTCTTGTTCAAATACTACTTCTGCGAATTCTTCTGGACCAAAGTGAATTGCTTCTTCTGCTTTGTACCTACTGCTGATATGCCATTTACCATGTCGTATTCAATTCTTTACTCTCATGTTTGTGTCTTTTCTAGACTTGAGGTCCTAGAGGTCAGGATGAAGATTACGCTCAGCTCAGCTCTTTTCATAGGTTTTGTTACATTTCAGATATTCACTAAGTGTTTTGGCTTTTTTTTTTAATGAATCGTCTCTATGGACAAAAATCACTGGCATCAAAAACAAATTATCTTATTAGGGAATAGGGATGAAAAAAGCTAGACTCCAAGGGAAATCCTAAAGAGAAGGGAGAAAGGGCACCAGGGAGGATGAGAAGGAATAGACCTAATGACAGAATGGCACTGATGTTCCAAGAAAAGGGTTTCAAGAAGCACTGATCTGGGGCACGTGGGTGGCTCAGTCGGTTAAGTGTCTGACTTCGGCTCAGGTCATATCTCACGGATCATGGGTTTGAGCCCCTCGTCGGGCTCTGTGCTGACTGCCAGCTCAGAGCCTGGAGCCTGTTTCAGATTCTGTGTCTCCCTCTCTCTCTGACCCTCTCCTGCTCACGTGGTCTCTCTCAAATAAAATAAACAAATAAATAAATAAAAGCAGCACTGGTCACTCTTCAAGTATCCTTCAGAGAATGGGGACCAAGTGTTCGCTGGAGACCTCTAAGAATTATTTTAGAAGTAGGTATAATCAAGATTCACTCAAGTATCATTCTTTCTTACATTCATTCAAAAACAATCACTGAGCACCTATTTCTTCAGTACTCTTTCGAACCCTAAAAACACGGTGGTGAACAAGATGGAGGATTCCTTTCCACACAGTATCTCTATTCCAATAGAACAGACAGTATCAAACCAAACCAACACACTGCCAGGAGTGGTCAGTGCCATTTTTGAGAGTTAAATAGAAAGTAAGAAGGGAAAAAGAATCCTCTATGTCAGAAGTGTTAAAAGCTGCAATTAGTTATGAAATTACCCCATGTTCAAAGTGGTGCCTCAGGGCAGGAATGAGGGAAGAACAAGAGGTAGCCTAATGAGTATGACTCCTTCCTTGCCCTTTAAATCAAAGGAATACAGTTTTATCTGTTTTTCCTATTAGGACTGCTTAAGACTTCAATGAGGAAAAAAAGGTCATATATTGCCTCGTTTTAGGTTTTCAAAAAGTTTAGTTTATAAAAGCAAAGTACATAGGATGAGGATGTAGATAGGATGACTATTTATGAATAGGGAAATGTGAAATATCTATGCAAAAAAACCTAATGCTTGTTATCTCTATTAAAGAGATACACATGATCACTTTGTAGAGGATATGCCTTTACTATTAAATTTAAGTTGAAACACCATCTAGGGAATCCCAATTAATAACTTTGCTGGTCTATATTTGGAACTTTGAAAATCTCTTAACTGCAGAAGATTGAGTATTTGCTCTCAAATTGTCAAGTGTTTTGTCTAGTGCTTAATATAGGACCTTATTAAATGCTCCAAAACCATGGATTAAGATTATAAATACCTTCCTGAAACAGATTTTACTTTGTTGAATCCTGACTAAAAATGCTGAGCTTTAAGAAATTAGCCACTTTTCTCACAATTCCCTTCTTTCTCTTATCAAAGGAACAGACTAAGAAGACTCCATTAAGGCCCCATCAATTCTTTGTTTTGATTTAATGCCAAGAAGACAGACTGGCAAGATAAGGTCAGCAGACCTCTTTAAATTGAATTGTGAAGTGGTCAGTTTCTACTCCACAATATTTCCCATAATTTAAAACTCAACCAGAAGCAGTTCTTACCTGTACACCTACCATATCTACTTTGGAATAAACTATGCCCATATTTTTTAATGTTTATTTTTGAGAGAGAGAGAGAGAAGGACAGAGCACAAACTGGGGAGGGGCAGAGAGAGGGAGACACAGAATCTGAAGCAGGCTCTAGGCTCTGAGCAGTCAGCACAGAGCCTGACATGGGGCTCAAACACACAAACTAGGAGATCATAGCCTCAGCCTAAGTCAGACATTTATCCAACTGAGCCACCCAGGTGCCCTCCATATATTCTTATATAAAGAATACCATCTACATAAATTGTGTAAATTCACGTTTTATCAAAACACATCTTGTTTCCTATCCTTTTCAAACCAATAAATTAAAAATATTTTATACTTTATCTTCTACTTCTGATATTTGTAAGCAAAGACATTCACTACAGAACCAACAATAAATCCAAATTTTGAGGGAAATATAAAAATCACTCTTTCAAATTAGATTTGCATTAGAATACAAAGAAACTTCAACTGCTTGGAGTTCAAGATGGGAGTAGAAAAACATCAGAACAACTGATCTCCTCCTTCTGGAATGTCAAAATGGGACAGCTCCCCATCCACCAGCATGTTCCATTTCACTTTTTAGAACATTATGACAACACCAGAGTTTTCATCAGTAAAATAAGCCTAAGAACCTACAGCCTCTGAAGTCTGTACTAACTTCACCTTCTATCATATCAGTTGTGGAGTAATTGGACGTACCGAGCCAGAGTTGATGTACACAAACACTCTGCCTTCCTCCCTGATGACGCTCTGCATGGGAGCTCCCACGAGGAGATCTGAGAAGCCATCTGCGTTGAGGTCCACGGCACAGACAGAAGCTCCAAAGTAGGAGCCAAGCTGCCCAAAAACAAGCCAGATGCCATCACTCAGAGAAGCCGCAGGGTTATTCACAAAAGCCCTCCGTGATACCGAAGGTGGAGATATTACCTTTTTACCTTTCACTTCATGTAAGATGTTCAGTTCTCTGGCATCGATGCTGAATATGTACGCCTGCAATTAGGAACAGAGTTAGCAGTCTCAGTTTTTCTACCACATTAAAATAATCTTCGGTGATCAAAACATCAACATCCACAACTTGTAATTGCCCAAATCCATTTTTAAAAGTCCTTTTTGGTGTAATTCAAAAGCTTTCGGGAACCACATTCATACTAATATGACTTCCTTGCAAAACTATCTTCTCAGGAGCTGTGGTCATGATTCCCCAGAGCACAAAGTGCTGTTTGCCTCACTTTTCAAAGTAAAATTTAGTAATGTCCACACTACAATTTAACAAAAACCAGAACCAGGAAGAATATCGGATTCCTTCTGATCTTACCCCAAAACATGCAGCTGGCTCAATATTCCCTCACCTGGAAACACTGTAACTAGTAATGTATTCCCTGGACATTTTGAGATGATTTTTTTTTTCAAGAACAATTTACTTATAAAAAATAAAAGCCTCTGGGGTACATGGGTGGCTCAGTCAGTTAAGCATCCCACTTTGGCTCAGGTCATGATCTCACAGTTTGTGAGTTCGAGCCCACATCAGGCCACGTCGGGCGCTGTGCTGACAGCTCAGTGCCTGGAGCCTACTTTGGATTCTGTGTCTCTCTCTGTCCCTCCCCGACGCACACTCGGTCTCTCAAAAAAGAATAATCATTAAAAAAAATTTTTTTTAAAGAAAGAAAAGTCTCAATTTGACTTCTGAATTTTCCTTTAAGCTTTTCTGCTCAATTTAATCTAAAAGCCATCCAACGTTCACCACGAAAGGCAGTGCAAAGCTCATCATTACTAGTTTTCATTCCTTAGAATTTTTGCAGTTTCTCCTTTAGTATCTTAATCTCTCATGCAGTTTCTTCGAAGTTTTGTGAATAATCAATGTAAAAATGTAATTCTTACTTTACCAATCTGTTCATGTTGAGGGGCTCCTCCCACTACTTCAGTAGTATGAGGACTCCGAAAATGACCTGCTCCAACTGAGTAGCCTTCAAATAAAGCGGAGAAAAAGTATGAGAATCATTATTTGCAATGGGTCAAATACATCTTCATAAATCCATTCAGAGTCAAATGAGACTGAATTCCAAAGACTACACTAAACAGTTTTATGAATATTTAGCATAGCAATATTCAAAACTGGTCATTTATTATATGCTTCAAGCAATTACTAGTAGGTGTTATGAAGCTAGGCACTTGGTTTACATTTCCAAGTCCTAGAAATTAAAGATAGCACTTTTACACTTGGTTTGTTAGTCTCTACATAGTACCAGAACATGCTAGCTTCTGGGATTACAACTGAAATACTTTAGAGATCTAAAATTTAACATGTTAAACTTTAAGTAAAAACTTCCTAAACTTCAACTCTCTTACCATGAAACCTTCCTATGGTGATAAAACTGTATGAGGACACAAATGGTAAAATATCTTAATACATGACAAAAGGTATAATACTAAGTTATATTTCTTATAACAGTTCAAGATATACTTCACCCATAAGCAAGTAAATGTTGGGTTATAAATAAGTTCCCTGTTTGAAAAAGAATTCTTACTGCATGAATGGGAAAAAATAACACTGCTTTTATGTACTGTAATTATTTCTGAGTCTAGGCTGCTTATGTTTGAAGCACATATGATTAACAAATCTGTATTTTCTAAGAAGCTATGGGGAAACCATCCCTTCTTACTATAACAGAGGAATCAATGCCGAGAAATCTTGTGTTTCTGTAGAAATACAGACTCTAAAGTATCCTGCTACACAGGATGAGGAGGCAATGGATGGGGAGGAGGAGGGGGAGGAGAGGAAAGATAAAGACAAGAATAAACTCTGGGAAATATTCTAAGAACTTATGATGCTAAGGTCAACGAGCTGTTTTTAGATCCGTATGCTTCATAATGTTACCCATTGTGTGCAAAGCTGTCAACAGCCCCACTGGCTTTCAGTTGGTCCTTTTAAGAAACTACACTTATTCCCTCATACATGATTCAATGAATTCATGTCGAGTGCCTACAAAAGATCCTTGGTGACCAGGTGGCTCAGTTGCTTGGGCTTCTGACTCTTGATTTTGGCTCAGGTCATGATCTCATGGTTTATAAGTTTGAGCTCCACACTGGCCTCTGTGCTGACTGCATGGAGCCTGCTTGGGATTCTCTCTCTTCTTCTTTCATTGCCCCTCCCCCACAAGTTTATTTTCTCTCTTAAAAATAAACTTAAGTTCCTCAGATATGCTTAGCACTCAATAGATGCAATCTTTATGGAAACATGTTGACTGCATCAAGATACAAGCTTGTAACAGTAAACTAAACTAGTTCTCTAGTCTAACAAATATTAATATTTTACATACGTAATTATAATCATTAAGTTTCACTGATTATATCCTTAAAGTAACAGTTTCTGAACTCTTTAATTGCTATTGGCCATTTTGATCTTCTGAACAGACTAGTAATCACAAAGAAGAGAAAGATTTATTTGTAAGACCAAGAAGACTGGAGTTCATCCATTTTTTTACAGTACCTAAATAACTTCCAAATTTTACTTGATTACTTTTGTCTAAAAAAGCCTTGTATTTATTTGTAGTTATATTGTAGACAAAAAGAGATCCAGTCCAATAAGATGATCCTGGGGCTCCCATCACAATTAAATCCTGTAAGAAAAAAAAAAAAATCTTTTCAAAGTTTAATCCACTCAAAAGCTCCTCCACATATACATTTTAATAGTGAGGAGAATACATTTTGAGAATTCTAAAATCTGAACATTTTATGAATTTAAAAACATATCAGGAAAAAAAAAAAAAAAAAAAGCCAGAGAAGCTAGCTAATGAATATTCACCTACAAGCACAATCCCAGAGAAGAAACTCTCACTTCACACTCATCAGTGGACCTTAAATTTAAAGACCTTAAAATTAAAGAATCATGGAACACTAGATTAAGCTTTTGGGAGACAGACAATGTGGTTTCTAATCAAGTGAATCACATCTGGGTAATTCATTAGTGCTTATTATAGAGATAATCACATGTTGCTAAAGAGTAAAAAGTGGCTTTAATTTATTCCTATTTGCAAAGAGCCAAGGACTCGTTTCCTTAATGTTAGCTTAGAAAAAAATAAATCCAGTCAAATTTGGGGGCATATTTGATAAGTACAAATTTAGGAAAAGGAAACAAAAGTCAGAATGAACAGATATATTTGGTAAAGTATGAAAACTTATAGTAATCAATTGTTAACTTAAGGCTTGATAGTCTGATTACTTAGATCCAGAAAATATTCAGAAATCCTTAATGGATGTTGAAGGTAAAATGGGAGCTTTGGAGGTTGAGTACAACTGTGATCTTTGATTGTATATCCTGGAGTGTTAGAGAAAGAGTTTGGGAATACTTAGTCTCTAATTTAAGAGAATATTAAATTCTTCAATCTCTCATTGCTTATAATTTTTAATGAAAGATGTGAATTCATAGGCTTTTCTCCCTCAACTAGTAATTAAAAATGACATACTTGGATATTTTAAGTGTGTAAGTTAAAAAGTAACAATAACTTCCTTTATTTTTATTAGAATCTTGGTGCAAGGATATTCTTCAGTGTAGACTTCTAGTTGGTCTTGCATGGCACAGCCATCTTAAGTATTAACCTTTTTTCAAAATATATGTGGAATACTGAGTGGTGAAAATGAAGTTGTTATAAACTCAAATTTAAGAAAACTATTATTCAGATGTTACACAATTTTTACTGTGAAGCATAACACCTGTCAAGCGGAAGTCTGAATCTTAAGAATTGAAATTTGTCTTTTAGGGGTTTACCTCAGTGTAAAAACTAGATATTCCAGCTTGACATGATGCAAAATTTTCTCCAAATTTTCTCACATAATCTAAAATTAAGTAGAAAAAAAAACAATTTAGGATTTCATTGAAAAAGACAATTTGCATAATTTTATAAATCCTTACAAATATACCTTTTAGGGTCTACATTTTATACTATCTCATTATAAAATAATAGCTTTGATAAAATTTAAGATCGCAAATCTCTTCCATATTAATCCTCCAAAAAACTTCTGCAAAATAGCAATGAAAGTATCTACCATCTCTGCCTCTTTTTCATGGAAAAAACATGCAGCATACACTAAAGAAAGAAAATTGTCAAGTGACTATCTCCAACTGAAATAGATTCTGTGGCTTCTAGTCCAGGTCAGCATTTAACATAGGCTTCCTGGAGCACATGGGTGGCTCAGTCGATTGAGCAGTCAGTTGATCTCCCGACTTCAGCTCAGGTCACCCTATCAGGATCTCAGAGTTAGTGGGTTCAAGCCCCACATGGGGCTCTGTGCTGACAGCTCAGAGTCTGGAGCCTGCTTCAGATTCTGTGTCTCCCTCTCTCTCTGCCCCTCTCCCCACTCACGCTCTCTCGCTCAAAAATAAACAGTTAAAAAAATTTTTTAAAATAGGCTTCCTAAATTGTGCCCAACTAAAAATAACAGAGTGAGTCAAGCTCTGCATGGAGGGTCTCCTACTACCCATGAATTGGATGCTTTTGGAACTTACTGGGAAGACAAAGCTCTACTTCTCCTCTGGAACTGCTGTAAGTAAACCTCTATAAATGTAAGAATCAGGTCCACATCCTTGCTTTGGCTTTACTAATTGGAAAAGCTAACTAAATTGTTAAGTCATTTGTAATTCATAGTCCTAGCCATGATTTTTCACTCCTTTTTGTATCTTCCCTCCTTTCTCTTTTAAATACATTTCCTCATAATTTTAGGCATTTTAAGTTTATGCCATCTTGAACATTTTGCAGGATGTAGCTGGGTATAACTGAACAAATTCTACTGTGAGAATGTTTTAAAGTGTCAACCATACACCATGGAGACAAAGAGGATAAACATACAGAATACTAGTCGGTGTTTCACTTCAATTAAGAATTTAAAATACCCCTTTTGTCTTCTTGGACGTCCAAAGGCCAGTTAGAGACTATGAGCTTTTCCAAGACGTCACATACCACAGAGGACCCCAAAGTTAATAGAATAACCGAATTTGCATACATGGTCAAAATTTTGTCAGGTAATGGAAAGGTTCTTTGCACACTGTAGTGAGCATTTTGGTTAGAAAAACTGGAAAACGGAATGCATATATATTTAATTCTGAGTTTTCTAAAGATACATTTTTAGAATTTTAGTTCTGTTAAGATAGGTTTTTAATGCTAGGTTGACATCCACCTCGTTTTGCACTCTTCAGGTGTTGATGTCCTAGCTCTACTCAGACTACTGCTACCTAACAATCTACTGGGAAAACTTTTCAAAATTAAAGATACCAATTCCTTGTCATTGCATGGAATATATGTCAATTAAAAAATATATAAATAAAGACACAGTGAATGGGTAAGATTTGCTTACATTTACACTTGAATCCTTCTGATACTCGTGGAAGCTAAGGATAAAACAAGAAACCTAAACAGTTTTCATCGTTCCAGACTCTTCAATCTCAAAAATTTAATACTAATTTCACAACTTTAATTGTCTTCTATATTCTGAGCATTAGACTCATTTATATGGAGTTTAAAATATATTTAATGTAAAAGCGGGTAAAATAGATTTAATGCAAAAGTGGGTAAAATAGATTTAATGCAAAAGTGGCTAATTATCAACTATATTCTAGAATTATTCAAACATAACCGTACAAATTTCTATTCCTAACAACACAAAGCACATTGTTTGTACTCATACTATCACAACTGAGTAAAGAAAGGAAAGAATACTTGGAGTAGCTAAAAATACAGCTATTTTAATAAGATTTATTCTCCTTTCCCTGCAAACACAAAATTGAAGATTAAAAAAAAATTAAAAGGCATTCACTTGTTTCTCTTGATCCAGGTAATACCCAAATGATTCCTTACCTTGATAACATGGAGCTATTCTTTTGCTCAGTTCTGTTCGTAAATCAGAGGGCATTCCATAGCAAACACCCGTGGGGAGCTTATTTTCATTCTTCATATAAAATATATTTTTCCATCTATGCCCACAAGCCTGAATAAAACAGAAGTGTAGATCAAATGATGTGAACATCACACCCAGAATATCTGATCCCATAATGTTCTCAGTGGACTAATCCCCATAGCCTACCACGATGGATCCATTTTCTCCTGGCTGTCTGGAAAGTGTGACCCCCAACCACTGATTGTCTCTTTCTTCCAGACAAGTCTTTCCACAAGGTTCTCCTGTAGGGCTACCTACAGCATTTGAAAAAAAAAAAAAAAAATTATCATCATCAGCTATCTTGAAAACCATGTCATTCTAGGACAGCAGAGAAAATAAACATACTTATCCCCAAGCTTTCTCCTTCATCACGTATAAAATGTCCCTGATTCCTGCTCCTCTAGACCACTTTATACTCAGTGCACAGTATGGGGACAACAGTAAGTTACTCTGTGCCAACGTAACTGTTATCTCAGCAGGTGGTTTCTGTTTGCAGAAAATGATCTCCAGCTGGTAACATCAGGAAGCGATGGGCTCAATATAGGAGCTGGGTAACCAAGACGACTGGGGGGCAGGGAGGGCAGTTTAAACCCATACAGGCTGTGCAGATGCAATTACAGTGTGTCATTTGTGGTAAAGAATGCGCACCTTTGTTTTGACCATTTGTCTAGCATTACAGGCAGCACTGCCAGAGCACAATGTAAAAAAATTTTTTTGGATTTCAAGTTTTTATTTAAATTCTAATTAACATATATGGCAAAATTGGTTTCAAATGTTGAATTTAGTGATTCAACACTTCCATACAACACCAGGGGCTCATTCACAAGGGTTCTCCTTAATCTCCCACACTCATTTAGCCCATCCCCCACCCACGTCTCTCCATCAAACCTCAGACACTTAACTATAATAGAGAACAAACTATCAGAGCACCTTTATTTTTTTTTTAATGTTTACTTATTAGAAAGAGATAGAAAGCAAGCAGGGGAAGGACAGAGCGAGGGCGACAGGAAATCCCAAGCAAGCTCCACACCTGCAGCACAGAGCTGGTTGTGGGGTTAGTATCCATGAACTATGAGATCATGACCAGAGCTGAAACCAAGAGTCACACACTTAACCGACTGAGCCACCCACGCGCCCACATCAGACATTTTTAAAGCCATTTCTTAAGTCATTGAGACTTTAGGAATAAAAGAATATGGTCCTTAGCATTTAAGTCACATTCCAGCACTGAAGCTGGGAGGTGATGACTGAGCACAAGGAAGTGGCTGTGTCTAATTAGCATATTAATAATGCCTAGCATTGAAGACAAACTGCCCTATGGTTTACATTTAGTTTATTGTGACTATTTAAAAAACAAAGGATTTAAAGAACAAGATTTTTTTTCAATAGTAAAACACATCAAAAGGTACTTTGGTGGGGCTCCTGGGTGGCTCAGTCCATTAAGTGTCCAACTGGACTCTTGATTTTGGTTCAGGATTCTGGAGTTTGAGCCCCTTATCTGCTGTCATTGCAGAGCCTGATTCAGATCCTCTGCCTCTCACTCTCTTGGCCCTTCTCCCACTCATGCTTGCACTCACAAGCCCTCTCTCTTTCTCCCTCCCTCTCTCTCTCTCTCTCTCAAAAATAAGTACACATTAAAAAAAAAGATTTAAAAAAGGTACTTTGGCAAATGCATGAATAGCCAGAAAACTAAACGTTTTCATGGGCAATACAGCACTTCTAAACTGTACAAAACAAAGTGATCTTCCCAATGATAATTTTTTTTTTCTTCTGCTAGAGCAACTTCTTTGCTTTATAGCTGGGATCCTATGAACACGCTTTCAAATAAATGAGTTTGTGGTAGAGTAAGACCTAGTATCTTAAGAATCCTTTCACTGACTTTATTCCTACCCTCGTCAACTGCCATGTGCCAGGTCCCATTCCACACGAGCTTAATTCCAAGGGCAGATGATTACATTTTCATCAGCTTCACTGGATAAGGATATGGAACCTGGGTTTATTTACTTCATTCTGAACACTAGTCACTGGTACCATTTTATCATATATTTATATTGACCATTCTCAAAATCATTAGGCACTCTATCTCCTATAACCTTGACATTAAACTTCCTGGGCAAACTCATAATACCTACATAGATAAGAATAGTATTTTGAAAGTGAAATTATTTGCAGTAAATGTCCTGGGCAGGAGAAATTTTGTCTCAAGGAGAAGAGGAAAATGTTTGTATATACATTTGTTCTCCAAAACATTGTTCAGGGCAAACAGTAAAACCCTCAACACAGCTGAACTGAACTAAGTTTCCTAGCTGCTTCCCTGAAGATTCTGATTTAGTAGGTCCAGGTGACGCCCAGGCCACCCCAGGTGATGGTCATGGTCTGGAATATAATTCCAATAGAATGTGGATAAGGGTTTTCTGGCCAGGCTTCTTATAGATTAGGACTACTTCCACATCTTGGTAGTGGCTACCGGAACACTGGACTTGAAAATGATTAAGTGTAGGTCTGAAAAAATGATGCTGGTGTTGATAAACAAGGTCTACCTGGAATGAAAAGGGGGTTTGCTACAGCCCAGACCTTGATAAAAGATGGTCCATGGGGAAACAGAAGATCCCAATGTTAAAATTAATAAAGAAAGGGGAAAAGAACAAAAAGGAGAAAGACCATTGTGAGTGTTGGGTGGGTAAGGTCTAACCAAGTTGTTAGCATGCCTACATGATGCCAACCTAATTGAAAGAAAGTGAAGACGACAGTGACCAATACATAATTTTAACTCTTACTGTGATGCAACTTCCAGTTAAAATTTTCACCAAAACTACCAATCATTTTTACTAGTGTCAAAAACAGATAAATGGTTGATTCTGTCTACCATAGGTGAAGTTGCTATTATTTACCAGAACGCTTAAACTATCTTCTCTGAAAACACCGAAGTCTTCATAAAACTATCATGTGGTTGACTAGGGCACCTGAGCAAGAGGAAAATTGAGGAGAGGAGAGAAAGGAGGTCACAAATAATACCTTATTCCTATTAAAATGTGGCATATTTAACAGGCACTTTCTTCACGGTTACACAATTGAATACAGCCAATAGTTAGGCACAAATCTACTGTTCTGGAGATGCTACCCCAAAGTTTAAATAAATAGGCAGTAATTCAGAGCTGAACAAAATATCCTGTAAGTTGCTTGATTAAAATGGCCAAGAAGTTTGTGAACTGTGAACTTCTGTCAATTTCCAATGAAACCCAGAGAAGGTGTTGTGTTGCACCATTTTCTGGGGCCATGCAGGATTCCATGTTGCATCAGCTCCACCAGCTGATGTTGTAGAATCATCACTGCTCAGAGCCCCATCCAGCATAGCCAAGCAATTCACGCTCCCACTTCTCAGGTCACTTCCTGCCAGTGTTTTTCTCTCCATGTCTTTGTCTGTGTAGCTCTCAGACCCCTGGACTTACACCAACTACCCCCCACCTCCCCGCCCGCTGCTATGCAGGCCTTGGGACGTAATGACGCTGCTGGCTTTCTTGGTTTTTCAGCTTTGCCGAGCGCAGATCACAGGACTTCTCTGCCTCCTAACTGAAGGAGCCAATTCCTTTAATAAATCTCCTCTTAGATCTACCTACCTACCATTTGCCCACCCTATTGGTTCCATTTCTCTGGAAAACTCCAACACAATTACGTTTATTTATTCACAGCTATCCTACTCCCCAAACTTAGTCACTAACAACCTAATTCATGGCTGGTACCAATACAGAGCCCAGGAATGTGTGCTGAAAATTGGTCAGTAAATTAAAAACAAAAAACAGTTTGGGGACACCTGGGGGGCTCCGTCAGTTGAGTGCCCGACTCTTGATTTTGGCTCAGGTCTCAATCTCATGGTTTGTAAGATGGAGCTCTGCAGCTGAATCTGATTCAGCTGACAGCACAAAGCCTGCTTAGGATTCTCACTCCCTCTCTCTGACCCTCACCCCCTCACATACACATGCTCTCTCTCAAAATAAATGAACATTAAAAAAAAAATAGTTCAAAGTTCCAACGGTGGTTTAAGTATCTTCTGTTTGTGTTTCGTGTCTTAATTGGAGATGTGTACAAAAGGATGAATGCACAGGCAAAAATAAAACTCACAAAGTCGTGAAACAATTATTCTTTCAAATGAGAAATAGAAACTAATTCTAGTAAGGGAACAACACACTCACGTTTGTATGGACTTCTCCTGCCCACGTCCTGACACTGCTTCTGCCCTGGCAGCAGCACCCAACAGTGACGGTCCTGCCGAGCTACTCTCTGCACTGGTTTAAAGGCAGGGTCCGTACAAAGAACAGCCTGCCAGTCATCACCACTGCCCTGGGTCTTTTCTTCACTTCTAGGAACTTTTTACCCTTGTCATCTGGGGCGCTTGCAGAATCTTGATGGAGAAGCAAGACCTCTGCATCGTCAGTTTATGCTCAGGGCCATTTTCGGCACTCTCCCTTAATCTTGCTTGCCCAAGTTCACGCCTCTAGCACGTGGTGCTCCGCCTTGACTGGACATTAGGATCACCAGGGGAGAGTTCCGAGTAAGTATCAACACCTGTTCCCCACTTTCTGGAGGCTCAGATCTGATGTGTCCTAGACTTAAAGAGTTTTTGAAAAGCTCCCCAGACAGGTGTGTGTCACTGGGCTTGTGCTCTACAATGTAAGTGGTTGTGACTTCTCCTGGACTACATCATATCTGAAAATACTCTACTTTCAAAATACTAGTACTAGCTTTTTGTCCTCCTTGGTTTCAGCTAGATACTGAAATAGGATCCCAAGTGTTAAGCAAACTTGCTTCATGTGGAAATACACTATTTCTAATGTGTCAGAAATGATTATTATTAGAACTATCATGAGAAAGTTAATTCTCGTGAAATTCCCTGACAGAACATCACAAATAAACTCAGATTATCTTTATATGTTATCCAAATGTCATACTGAAGTGATTTACAATCTGGTTTTCAACTCAGCTCATACATTTCTAATCTAAACTCTTAGTAAATCAAATCAGCTTCGTAATTGAAAAAGTACTTTGACACTTCTCCAAAGAGGACGTCCAGATGGCCAACAGACACATGAAACGATGCTCAGCATCCCTCCTCATCAGGGAAATACAAATCAAAACCACACTGAGATACCACCTCACACCAGTCAGAGTGGCTAAAATGAGCAAATCAGAGAACTCTAGATGCTGGCGAGGATGTGGAGAAACGGGCACCCTCCTCCACTGTTGGTGGGAATGTAAACTGGTGCAGCCCCTCTGGAAAACAGTGTGGAGGTTCCTCAGGAAACTAACAATAGAACTCCCCTAGGACCCAGCAATAGCACTGCTGGAATTTACCCAAGGGATACAGAAATGCTGATGCATAGGAGCACATGGACCCCAATGTTCATAGCAGCACTCTCAACAATAGCTAAAACATGGAAAGAGCCTAAGTGTCCATCAACAGATGAATGGATCAAGAAGATGTGGTTTATCTATACCATGGAATACTACATGGCGATGAGAAACAATGAAATCTGGCCATGTGTAGCAACATGGATGGACCTTGAGGGTGTTATGCTGAGCGAAATAAGTCAGGCAGAGAAGGACAAATATCATATGTTTACACGTATAGGAGGATTAGGAGGAACTTGACGGAGGAACAAGGGGGAGAAGAAGGGCGGAAAAGTTGGGGGAAAGGGAGAGAGGCAAACCATGAGAGACTCTTGAATGCTGAGAACAAAGTGAGGACTCATGGGTGTGGGGGGGGGGAGGAGATGGGCATGGAGGAGGGCACGTGTGGGGATGAGTACCAGGTGTGATATGGAAACCAACTTGACAATAAACTATTTGTAAAAAGAAAAAAAAAGAAAAAGTACTTTACATGGTTTAATGTAAAAAAGGGCAGTAAAATTAACATGTGATAACTTCCCATGCCTTTATACAACTACAATGACTAATCTTAGCAGAGTTGATTGAATTTTCCCAGTAGCTACTAAAAATATGAAACCACATAAAACCATTATATCCTTTATTCAAAAAATTAGGCCAGTTTTTACTTTTCCTTTTTTTTCCATTTGTGTAGAAACATACAAGAAGTATGCTTGTTACTTCAGTTTTTTATTTCCATTTTTATTTTTGGGGCCTTTTAATGTTAATTTATTTATTTTTAAGAGAGAAAGAGAGAGCAAGGAAGGGGCAGAGAGAGAGAATCCCAAGCAGGCTCCGCACTATCAGCACAGAGCCTGACTCAGAGCTTGAACTCACGAATAGTGAGATCATGACCTGAGACAAAATCAAGAGTTAGATGCTTTACCTGCTGAGCCGCCCAGGAGCCCCTCCATCTGCCGATTTTCCATCAGTAAATCCACGTGTATAAATGTGAATGAGCAGTTAAATTTGTCAGATGAATATAAAGGCTGTTAGTACAAAGCCATTTAAGTACATCCTTCACCATCCCTTTTGGTTGTTAACTTGTATCACCCGTTTTAGCATCATTGCTCCAGTGCTAAAGTATGACAGACGATGGAAGACTAGATATTCAATCTCGAATGTCACCTCATGAGGGCAAGTTGACTGTTTGGTTGACCACAGCATTCCCACAGCACAGAACAGGACCTTATGGACAGCAGGCAGGAGCGAAATACATATCTACTGAGGGAGGAGATTCTGAAATACCTTTATCATCAAATCCTTTATGACGATATGCCTACAAAATGTTCACCAAACTCTCAGGGATTTAAGCTTTGGAGAGGTCTTCCTTCACTACTATTTGTCTCTCTTCTGAAATATTAATTCCTTTAAGTTTTAAGACTGTAACAGATGGTGTGAAGGAAGACCACATGTATAGGTTTGAAGATCTTTACAGTGTGCGATCTGGGACTAGGAAGATTTAAGACTGAGGATCACCTGGGGCCCACAGGAGATGCCTATCGCAGAGGGTTTCTGTGAGGATTTGGGGGAATAAATCAGATACTCAGAAAGTGCTTGGGCCAGAGCCTAGCAGAAGAAGCACGCAAATAGTAGTTGATCTGGGCATTATTATTATTTTAAGGATGAAGCTAACCATGTTTAATCTGCCTATACGTGTTGTCGTGGATCCTCCTCCGTAAAATGTTTATGACACATCGCTGTCAGGCCTCATCATTCACATTTAACTCATTTAATTTTCCCAGTAGCAGCAGAGGACTATGTTACCCATCCCATTTTACAGATGAGCAAATTAAATCTTTAGGAAGGTAGGTGACTTCCTTGAATCCATGGGGCTGATAAATGAAAAAGATTAGAATAAAAAAATTAAAACTTGTCAGAAATCGAAGATCTCTGTTATTTCCCACTACTCTACAGCATATACAATAGGACTCTACAAAGATTTCAGAGGTATGTGTTCACTGAGATCACTTTCACTTTCTAAGTCTTTTGTTTTGGCTTCAAATGTGTGAAATGTCACAAATCTGCCCACAGACTGTTCAGTCAACTGCCTGGTGCTCAAGAAAAATGTCAGTGATTTAGTCCCTGTCGTATCCTGCCCTTTTCCTCAATTTAGATCCGTTCTCAGTATGTTGGCATTTCCACTGAAGAAGTCCCCAGGGGAAAGATCAGACTCAAAGTTCTTCTTTCTATAACTTGTTGAAAGCTTGAGTGAAATAGTTTGTGAGTGAGAGAGCTTGGGACTTTTGCATGCAATGACATGTTTGGTTTATCGGCCTGCGTCACTGAGCTGTGGCTTCCCCGTCTGGGAAGCACTCAGTCTGACATTCTCGATACTACAACAACATACACGCTTATCTGATCTTTCCAAAATGTGATGTAAGTGTAAGTTTCAGAAAAATACTGAAAGCCCTTCCCCCACCAATTACTTTTTTTTAATTTGAAGTTCTTTTCCATTGAAAGGTAAGTCCTGTATATTTCAAAGTTTTCTTAAATAGTCCTGAAAAATGGATGAACGTTATTCTCTTCTATGCTGCATAAAGAGTCATTTCTTCAGAACATCTTTATTTGTAGAAGCAATCATTACCAAGTAAAGTTAATCACATAATTCTTTCCTCTACCTAAATTCAGAATATCAGAAAAACATATGGGACTAAAACTGAAAAATTCAATTCAAACATGAAGAGTATAAAATCTACCATTGAAGGATCATGAGGATTATAGAAAATTTACTCTTAACAGATACAAGACTGCCTGGCACCTATTAGGTGTTCATTAAATGGGAAATGCTTCTGTTCCCCCAACATACCGCACATCACATTGATTTAGAGTTGACCAGCAGAGGGCGCTCACAGTGCTGTGAGATTTGATCAGTGGCCTTCAGCTGCTTAACCAAGTGACCCCTTCTTATAGTTCTTCTTATCCAATTCTAATTACTATTAAATTCACTATTTTTACTCTACTAAACTATGTACTTTTCCCACACACCAAATAAGATGTGGTGATGATGTTCCTAAAAGATAATAGTGATGTTTATGAATTCAGTAGCAATAACAATAATTTTGAGTCATGAGGAGTAAAATGCCCAAGTTTTAGAGCTGAGATGGGAGACATGAGAGTACTGAACTTCCAAGGCCATTTCCTCCAGCTTGTCTGGAGTCAAGATATAAAAATAAGCAAATAAGAGTCAAGATATCAAAATAAACATCAAAATTAGAAACCAGTCTCAAAGTATTTTCTTTTGGGAAAACACGTATTTACATGCCATATTCTCAGGCTTCCCAGTCCATATCTGACAACGGCTAATCATCACACTCAGTTTCAATGAGAAAGAGCTCATATGACCATACGCCTTAAAGACCCAGCTAATTCAGTCTTCTGTCTCTTTTTATTTAATAGCCCTATTTTATGTTTTAATTTTATTTATTTTACTTTATTGTATTAAGAAAGAGGTGGATGTCCCCAGGCAGAAGAGCCAAGTCTTAGGGTTGCAATTTTATAAATCTGGGTTGATCCTGATTCATCACTAGACCTCAAAATTCTAGAAAACCAGGTCACTTGAGAGCTTAATTCTAGGTTCAGGTTCTCCTCCAGCGACTTGAGGCCCAAACTTCTTCAAATTCCTACAGAAAACCTAAAAAAGTTTTTGCTTTGTTTTGTTTTTTACTAACTACAGCAGGAAAGTGTACCACAACTGACATATTTGGTGAGCATTATTTAAAGAGGGACTGCTGCCTCACAATAACAACTAATACTTACTACATGCTTTCTATGTACCTAAGCACACTTACTTGTAATACATGTAAACATATATGAGTTCCTTTCATTTTCATTATATCCCCATGAGCAGATATTATTATCATGATACAAATTTTACAGATGGAGAAACTGAAACAAAGAGAGATTAAGCATCTTGCCCAAAGTCCCCCTAGTAAGCGGGAAAGGAAGGACTCAAGTCCCAAGTGTCAACCACCACCCTATACTACCCCTACAATGATTGCTTTTAGTACTCTTCCCTGAAAAGCAGGGAAAGAATCCAAATATTGACATTATTAACAAGCCTATACTAATTCTCTGTCTATAATAACCTACTATTAAATCACTAGTTTCCAATGTTAAGAAATAGGGAAAGAAAATTCTCTATTTCCATGGTTTTCAATTCAACTCTTGGACTTATGGGTTCATTTGAAAGACTATCACTAATACATGGAAACCATTTTGAGTGTCTTTGAAACAAGAACAATACAAAAATGTAAGTTGGAAAACAAAAACAAAAACAAAATCTCCAGGGAAACCTGCCCTCACTCAACAGTAGGTGGTCAATATTGACGCACGGTGCTTGGTTTGGGAATTTACACAGTAGGACAGAGGGGACAGGATGATGCAGAGTCTGAAGCATGTGAAAGACATAAGTCAGTCAGGAACTCCACGGCATTATCCAGTAGAGGGTCAGACTGAGATGAGGGGTTATGAATGTCAGAGGACCTGTTTCTGTCCCAAGTTTAAAGGATGGGAGAAGAAGTTACAGAGACAACGATTTGTAGACAAAATAAAATGCTAAAGAACACTAGAAAGTGTTTCGAAGAAACCAAGAATTGTATCAGGTGAGGTAGACCTAGAAAGATTTCATAAACACAGGCTATCCATTGAAAGAATCTATATAGGCTGTAATGTTAAACAGGCACCTCTAATCCATTTCACACAATATTTCCCATAAAAGAGATTCGACAACTAAGTCTGCATGCTTACTCTTTCTGAACATATTTATTGTGAATTATAGTATTTCAAATAATTTACATTAAAAAGGTTCCTTTTTTTTTTTAATTCTAGGGGGTGAACTGAGAGCATCAGAACAAAAACACTGCATTCCTGACCACTTGTAAGTCCACTTCCATGGTCTTATTTGATGTTTCCGGCTACCTTTTTAAAAAAGCCCTATTTTTAAGGAAGGTCAGTTCCAAGCTCCCTATCTCAGGAGTGCCCATTATTGTTTAGATTGTCTGGTGCGAGCAGGCAGAATCTCTGGAACCCAAGGCTGGCCCAGACCTCCTGGGATAATGCTCACATGTGCAGCGGAGGAATCACTCACATCGGAGAAATATATTCATCCATTTCACATGTATTGAACTTTTACTATACTTTCATCGAAACTGGTCAGAACTGGCTCAACTACTCAGGTATCTGCTCCTCCAGGAAATCTTCACTCATCTTCCAAACAATTTCTTCTCCCCACTGTGTCTCCATCATCACGTTTATTACATATTCTCATAATTACCTGTCTCTTGTCATTTAGACTGAATTCTTTGAGAGCATCAGCCATGTCTTACTCAACTTTCTAAGTTTCTAAGTAACCAATAAAACATGTTTAATTAATGGAGAAAGAACCCAGATAAAAAAGCTGTTGACATGTGCTCCCATTATTTTCTCACTCCTCACTTCTCAACCCTCTGTAGTCTGGCTTCACCACTAAAATTGGTTGTACTCAAAGGTTACTCTTGAATGGTTTCTCTCTATATTCAATGAAATCTCCTAAGTTCTTACCTTGCTTGACCTCCTGACAACTTTTGATACTGCCAACCGCTTATCTCTTCTCAAGATCCCTCATCTTTTAACTTCCATAATGCCACACTGACCAGATTTCCTTGCTACCTCTTTGGCTTTTCCTTCTTAGTCATTTTCTCAGGCTCCTCTTTTCTTCTCCAGTTGGTCTAAACCATGGATGAAAACTGGTATCATCTGGGGACCTTTGAAAACCCTAATGCCCTTCTAAGGGTTCTTTGCATTCAATTCCATCGTGTGGAGGGTGGGAGGTGGAAGAGCACTTTTTACACCACCAATAAGCAATTTTCTGTCACTAGCTGGGTCAATTCACTAGCTAGAATTCAACTCAACTCTGACACTGTCTATCCAGAGATACAGCATCTGATCCCACAGGTTAAGGACTTAGTCCTACAAGACTGCCCTTCTCCCCCCACCCCCCACACCCACTTCAGAGGCCAAGCAAAAGTCTAGGTTGTCACCTATATTTCTAACCACCTGGCTATCAGAGGTTCCAACTACTCCATCCCTGGGTTTGAATAATTTGCTAGAGCACCTCACAGAATTCAGAAAGGCATTTTACTTACTAGATTACTAATTTATTATAAAAGGATATAACTCAGGAACAATGAGATGGGAGATGCATAGGGCAAGGCATAGGGAAAGGGTACAGAGATACTACTTGCTCTAAGTATTCCACTCTGTTCACTAGCCCAGGAGCTCTCCCAACCCTGTCCTTTTGGGTTGTTAGGGCAGCTTCCTTACACAGACATAACTGATTAAATCATTCACGATTGGTGATTCATTCAACCTCTAACCCCACTCCCCATCCTGAAGATTAGTTCGGGATGGAACTAATGGACGGAAAGTTCCACCCCTCCAATTATATGTTCGACTCCACTGGCAACCAGCCCCCATCCTTATGTGGGGCCCAAAAGCCACCTCCTTAACAAAGGACACCTTTGTAGCTCTCTTAGAAAATTTCAAGACTTTTAGGAGCTCTGTGCCAAAAACAGGGAATAAAAGTAAATATATTATTCTTACTAGAAATCACAATGTCACACCTAGACCCATCTGCAAAGATTTTATTTATTTAGGATGAACACTGGTACTCTTAAAGCTCTGCAGGAGAACCTAAGTTGTAGCCAGAGTTGAGCGGCACAGCTCTAGCCCATTCTCAAACTGTAGGAATCTTCTGGATCTCTCCTGAGGCTTTTGATCTATTCAGCCCAGAGAGTTTCCAAGTTAAACCCATTAACTCCCATGCTTTGATAACCATCTGTACGTCAATTGCAGTGAACTCCAGATTGCTAGTGCAGATCTCTCCTGCCCAGTAGACCCACACATCCAATTGACTACTAGATATTTACTTCTAGTCTTCTACGTCTTCTGTGGCCAGCACCATCATTCATCCAACAGCCCAAGTCGGCACCTTGGGTAACACCTTTGGAAACCTTCCCTTTCATCTCTCTCCTTTAATAATTACCAAATCCTATTGAGTCTGTCTTCTAACTAACTGTAGAATATCTGTTTTGCTCCATTCTTGCTGCCACTGCCTCGGTACAAGCACTTATCACATACAGCCTAAATTGTAATAAAATCTTTCTACTACTGTCTCATTACCTTCAGCCTTGACTCATTTACTCCAAAGCATTCACTGCTCTGCAACCAGAAGTATCTGTCTAAAATGCAAATCTGATCAGGTCACTCCCCAGCTTTAATTACGAATGAGTAATTCATACTCCTTAAAGAGAACTCACTGAGTTGTACTAAAAAAAAATCCCTGCTTAGCTCTCCAACCTTCCATCCACTTCACACTCCATAGTCAAATCATATGCATATTTCTTTCATTTCAAAGATCCATGCTCTCAAAGACCTCAGGTCTTCATACACACTATTTGCTCTGTCTGGCACCCTTTTCCATAAACCTCTTCCTCTAACCAATTCCTGATTTGCATTCAGTTCTCCAATTGAACATCAATGTCTCTGGAAGCCATCACCTTTTTTTCCTAATTAGATTAGATCTCACCATACTCTCCTATAAGAACCTAAGTTAGAGACTGTAAACCTCCTGGATGCAAGGACCATGTTTCTTTCTTACATCCAAGTTCTGGCCCTTTGGCACTCCTCAGTAAATGACTGAATGAATAAATACCCACATGTACAACGGATTGCCTTATCTGGCCCTAGAACTGTTGCTCAGGGGAGATATTTTTAGTCATTAGGAATATAAGTTGGGGATCAAATAAGCTTAAAGCAAAAAGCAAAATGCATTTACAAAACCTCATCTCTCAAATTCAGTGGAAAGCATTCTTTTAGAGATGGAGTTTGGGAAATTGCTGGAAATCAGGGAACTTAAGTTTCTTAACATGATAGTTTATTGATGAAGCTCTCTCTCTTGATTTTCTGAATAATTAGAACCTATGTTCAGGGACAATTTTTCAAAATGACCAGTCTGTATCAATCCCAGATTCATAAGCTATACTTTAAAGAGTTTTGCAAATGAAAAAGAAAAGTTATCAAGAACATTATTTGATGTTGCAACATTATTTGAAGTGTGAGGTTTGCCTTTTAATGTTAAGCTAATAATTCCTGCAAATCAGGCAGAAGTGAGAATGAGGTAATCGTTAGTTTAATGGCACAATGGTAATGAAATTAACCTCTTCCAAATAGGTTATGTAATATAAGCCAGGAGGCTGACTAGGGTGATAAAATTCTAGAAAGAAATCTGAAGGGGAATAATGATGACTAACTTGAGATGGATTATTGTTCTTTCCAGTAAAGAAAAGAGAGGCACAAGCAAGAATCTTGAAGGTCTAGTAACTATACAGCACTTGTCTGGGAAAGAAAAGTGAAAGTCCTATTCATTTATGCACAGATGCTAGGAAAGCACCTGCTACAAAGTTACTGTTTTCTCATGCAGGGACTTTATATTTCTCGGGGGCAGTGCTGTCCAATAGAAATTATTACATAAGTCATATAGGAAGTGTTTAATTTTATAGGAGCCACTTTAAGAAGTAAAATAAATAAAATTGATTTTAAAAATCTACTTTATGGGTCACCTGGGTGGTTCAGTCAGTTAGCATCCTATTTCAGCTCAGGTCACGATCTCATGGTTTTGTGGGTTTGAGCCTCACATCGGGCTCTGTGCTGACAGCTCATAGCTCGGAGCCTGCTTCGGATTCTGTGTCTTCCTCTCTCTCTCTCTGTCCCTTCCCTGCTTGCGCTCTGTCACACTTTCTCTCTCAGAAATAAACATTAAAAAATACACAAAAATATTCCTAATTTAACACAACAAAAATATTATCATTTATACATGTAATCAATATTAAAATATTTATTTTGACATATAATTAATATCTAAGAAATTAATGAGATATTTTAAATTCTTTCTTTACACTAAGCCTTTGAGATCCAGTATTTAATTTTATATTCCAGCACCTATCACTGTAAACTAGCTACATTTCATATGCTCAACAGCCACACGTGGCAACTGGCTACCATATTAGGCAGTCTAACTATGTAACTTTAGACTCTATCACCCAGGGAAGTGTGTGTGTGTGTGTGTGTGTGTGTGTGTGTGTAGCAAGCATATGTTATTAGCGGTGACTCCAAAGTAATAAAAGATATGGAATGTCATCTGAATAACCAAGTAAAGACAATCTGTTTAGTATAATTTTATAATAATTTATATCTTTTATTACATTCTAAAGCTCTGAATATTGGTAATCTATGGACAGTGTATGATTACATATAGTTCTGGAGTCCTCTGTGATCAAAGTTTCCTTTTAAAAAGCCTCAACAAGAAGTGCCTGGGTGGCTCAGTCAGTTAAGTGTCTGGCTCTTGATTTCAGCTCAGGTCATCATCTCATGGTCATGAGATGGAGCTTTGAGTGAGGCTCCACACTTGTGGAGCCTGCTTGGGATTCTCTCTCTCTGTGTCTCTGACCCTCCTCCACTCTCTCTCTTTAAACAGATACATAAACATTTTTTAAAAAGCCTCAGCAAGGATACAGAAAGTCTGGGTGGAAAAGCAACTGGACATATGGAGACACTATGGCCTCCTCGGACACAAACTGTTCGTGAACAAGTCTGGGCTCAGGCCCTCCTGACAAGACACCACCTTCCTTGGGTTCACAGAAGGAAGTAGGGGAGAAGTGAGAGGAGAGACCCCTCTCAGGCAGACAGGGAGGAGGAAGCCTGTTTGCAAGCAGAATGCAAAGTACCTCTTCTACAGTTAATTCACTTCACTGAAAGGGGTATCTTACTCTCAACCCTTAAAGCCTAGACATTTTAGATCAATGGGCATCTGCTGCTCACATCTGATTATGGCCACAGTGAATATACCACAGTGTGTGACATCATCCGGGGGTGGTGGCATGTAATGGGAGGGTATTGATCTCCTCTTTCTAGGGAGGAGTCCATCTGATTCAAACTTTGATCTGAAATTCTGAAACCTAAAGACTAGTCCATGTGAATAATATTTAAATTACTAGGAGATGGGCACTGTTTTGTTTTGCTTTTTTTCTTAATTAGTTTATTGTCAAGTTGGTTTCAATATAATACCCAGGGCTCATCCCAACAAGTGAGATGGGCACTGTTTTAAGACCTCTTCCAGCTTCGTTTCCGTGATAGCAAGAGAAGCCATTCCACACCCTACTGATATGGCAACCATAGATCAAAATTTAGTGATAAGATTTTGTTGGTTGAGTCAACAAGAAAATATTTCTCACCATGTTTCATCTTAACTGTTACCTCTTTATGCATTTAACTTTTTGCTTCTATTATTAATTCTCCCTATTTATTACCCTCAACCTGAATATAACAGATAGCATACAGATATAGATTTAAGTAGGTAATAGAAACCAAAAAAATTAATGCTTTTTAAAGGTCTGTTATATGTCAGGTATTGAGCTAAGCTTTTTCTTTACATTATAGATAAGTCACATTTGAGACAGGAAAACTGAGGCCATCCTCATAACCTACAGAACTAGAATACTGTGTATGTCCATACTTACATAAATTTTTCTTAAAGCTTCTTCATAGAAAATATTATATAGTTCACAAAGCTGAAAATCCTTAAATGTCTTTCATTACCAATCTCCTGTTTTTAGTACTTCCTTTCTACACTTCATCCCCAATCCCTTATTTTACAGCTTCAAGTGACTTCTGAGTTTGTTCTGAATGGAAACACAATTTCTTTATTTAAGGAACAGAACACATTGTTTAAAATGTTATGGGAGGGGCAACTTCAGTCAATTCTTTTGCAAATACACCAAGCTATTACCAAGGCAAGAAGTGTTTCAACCAATGGTTTGACTGGAAATCTTGTCTACCTTTTTGCTGTTTATCTCAATCAATACCTTTCTGTATCTACCAAAAATGTGAAAATTAAAAATGTCCTTTGGTGGGGCACCTGGGTGGCTCACTCAGTTAAGCGTCTGACTTCGGCTCAGGTCATGATCTTACAGTTCATGAGTTCGGGCCCTGCGTGGGGCTCTGTGCTGACAGCTCAGAGCCTGGAGCCTGCTTTGGATTCTGTGTCTCCCTCTCTCTCTGCCCCTCCCCTACTTGAGCTCTCTCTCTCTCTCAAAAACAAATTTTAATAAATACCATTTGGCTTATCATTTCTAATCATTCTCTTATTCATCAATCAGGCTGATGACAATCAAACTTCCACTTTACCTTTATTATTTATCCATCCAACACATCTTCACTTAATTCATGCTTGTTGCACATCTACCACAGACACATTTCTCTGAGAATGTTTCTGTAGTCAATCTCTATGCTCCACATGCCCCCAAATTTAGGTTTTCCTTGCATTTTGACAGGCATTTTTATCTCAAATTGTGTGTAATATTAGGCATGATCTTTCCAGTTAAACACAGATATCTAGAAATAGATTCAGTGCCCTTCCAGGCAGGAAGTAGATGCCAAATACTAGTAGTTATGATGCCATGGATCAGGAAATCATGACAGGACAACAGAAATGCAACTTCTCCTTGCTGAGACTTTGCCAAGGTCCTCTGGCAGACCAAGTTTGTGTGCTCCAGTCCCTAATTCTTTTTTTTTTTAATGTTTTATTTATTTCTGAGAGAGAGAGAGAGAGAGAGCGAGCAGGGGAGGGTCAGAGAGAGAGGGAGACACTGCATCTGAAGGAAGCTCTGAGCTAGCTGTCAGCACAGAGCCCAACGCAGGGCTCGAACCCACGAACCACAAGATCATGACCTGCGCTTAAGTCGACTGCTCAACCGACTGAGCCACCCAGGAGCCCCGAAAAACACATTTATTTTATTTCAAGTTGTCACATAACCAAGAAGAGACATTAAGAAATGACTTCAAATAGATGTAGGCATTTAACATAAGAGTTTGGGGAGAGAAAAAGTAACAATTAGAGCTTAGTCCTCATTTAAATTATATTAACAATGGAGACGCCAATTTTTTCTTGTGCTCTTCTTTTACGTTTCATATTCTAAATAAAACTATACCGTTTTCTTTTTTTCTTTCTTTCTTTTAACAAGCCCTTAAGCTAAATGACCGGATACGGGATCAATTCCAACTGCGTTCCCTGCTCTGCCCCTTAGCCTTTTCTTTAACAAGGCTGATAGGTCAAAAATGGAAATAAAATTCTTAAGCGATGGCTTGGCTGGATCTTGTCCCTCATGCGCTGAGAGACTTCTTTAAAATGTGTTTTACATGAGGAGGGAAGAGGGAGAGGTGACGAGAATGTATCATAAGAAACTTTCCTCTCGAGTTTTGCCAGAGGACCGCAATCATTCTCATCAGCAAAAGGGAGGAAAATGTTGACAGAAAGGAGTCACTTTTGCATTAACAGGTTAGATGGTTTTTGGAGTAAAGAGTGCAAGTCATTCCCTTTAAACTAGAACAGGCAACGCGGAGTTTTTCCGCGACTTGTGCTACCCCAGGGTCACTCGCCCCTGGACCCAGACCCAACTCACCCAGCTGGAGCTGTTCGCACGTCAGGTCCGGATTCTCGCCGATCTTGCATCTGTAAATCGCGCCAGGATTGACCACTGAAGCGTTGGCGAGCCAGCTGGCGGTGGGCGCCCCCACTAAGAGCCTACGGCGAGAAACGTGCACGTGCACGCAGACGTGAGCCGAGCTGCCCGCTGAGCTCCGGGTCTCTGCAGACTCGCAGCTGGCAGCCGGGCCGCTCCCCGCCTCTCCGCCTCCGCCCACCGCCTGGCGCACCCACCCCGCCGCCCCCGACCCGCGGCTCCGGAGCCTCGCGCCCCAGCGCCCCCGAGGCGTGCCACCCCGCGGCGGGCTCGTGTCCCGAGCAGATCCGGCGAGCCGGCCGTCGCGGCGCTCCCCTCCCGACTCCTCCAGAGGGAGGAAAGTTTGAACCCGGCCGGGAACCCCTGAGGCGCCGTTCACTCGCGGCCCTCGGGTGGCCGGAGCGCCGAGTCCCGCTCCACTCACCATCGGTTCGCCCCGTGGCTGTGCAGCACCACCGAATAACCGAACAGGGTGTCGGGGGGGCCCTGGTAGAGCAGCGCGCTCTCGGTGTCCACGTTGTAGGGGCGCCCTGTCGGGACGGCCAGGCACAGCAGCAGCAGCACCGCCTCCCGGGCGACTGCGCCTTGGGGACCCGGCCCGCACCTCGCTTCCCCAGCCATGCGCTCCCGGAGGAGAACATTCAACACCAAACGGCCGTTGTCCCAAAGTTGCGCGGGATAAGACGGTCGGCCAAGGGGAAGAGCGCCCCAAGAGAAGTGCAGCGTGTCCGGCGCCGGCGGGCGGGAGGGAAGGAGGGAGGGAGGGATCGAGGAAGGGAGGGGAGGTCGGGCGGCCGCGGGCGGAGCAATCGGGTTTGATCTGGGATGCCGCACGCCCGCCGGGCCCCACGGCCCGTTTCTGCAGCCGGGAGGTGCGGGTGCTCTCGCGGTCTCGGGGCGCCGGCCGCTGGGTGGGGTCCCGGGCGTGGTGCGGAGACACAGGACCCTGCGCGGTCTCACCCCGCGCGCGGCTGTAGGGGGCGCTGGGGGACCTCGGCTGCGTCGGACGCGCGTCCGGGCCAGGGCCTCCAAGCCGAGGAACGCTTGATGACTCCGGGCTCCAGGGCTTTGCAAGAGTGGAGCTGGAAGGGACAGGGGACTTTGCCTTTTAACCTTAGTTAAGGCCTGCTTGCGGAGCGGCGTGGCCCCAACCTGCCCCGCGCGCGCAACGCTATGAGCATAGGATCGCCGTGGCCTGCCCGGTGTGGCCCAAAATAATGCCAGCCACAAACTCCATCTGGATCCCTCGTGGATAGTTAAGGTTTATCTCTGATTTGCAAGGGCATAAGCAGCCACTAGAGAAATTAACCAGACCTGAAACAATTATACAAAAAGAACTCCCTGAAAGCTTCTGAGGCACATTTTAGTGACAAAGAAAGACGTTATGGCTATTCACTTCAAGACTCAGTGCCCTGCACCCGTCTATGCCCACTTCCTTCCTCCCCAAACTTCCTCTAAAGCACAGGCTGCATTCCTGAGGCAGACTCGTGGTGAGCCGGTCAGGGTGAATGGCACAAGATTTAGGCTGTTGCTGAGTCCAACGGGGAGGCCGAGTTAAGGAAGCACTGACTTGCCTCACTTTAACGGATAGCTCCTCCTGGTTCTTGATGCTCCTGCTTTCATGCATCTATCATTGCCACCGGATACACCTGCCATCAGGGGTGAAGACCCACCCAGTAGGAGGGGAAGACACAGATACCATAATGAGGCTCTGAAAATGGACTGGAGACCTGCAGCCCTACATACTTGAAATGGGTGATGAGTTTTATCCTAGTGAAATCCAGATGTGCCTTAAGTTTCCAGAGCACCCAGAGAGGAGCATAGATAGTGAAGCTGATATTTGCAGGAGATGCAGGTTCAGTTGTCAATTATTGTTATATGAATTTTTAAAAAAAGGAAAGAAAAAGGGTTCATTAAAACCAAACTGAAATAACACATCTTAAGTTATAATGGCAGACACATAGTTAAAATATTTGTTCATCTTTTCAGCATATTTATTGAGCAGTCACGATGCTAGGCCCACAGGATACCACCATGAGCAAGGCAGAACAAGCCTTCAGGAAAATTTTTTGCCAGGTATTTGATAGACAAACTTTGGATGGCTAGAGAAAGTTCTGAATGCCTTGGGGACACTTAAAAAGATATTTTAAGGACAAAGAGGGGTGAGTTAGGCTGAGCAGTTTGAGAGGAGGGAGGAGGGATGGTGCCCACAGGGCCAGATAAAGGAGATCCATTCTTGGCTGGATCACTTAGCTGCCCACACACAGGTCAGTACTACAGGAAGCTGACTAGGCAAGTAGGAAGACATCAGGAACATCCTAAGCCAGATTAGGAAATTTTTAACTCTGTGCTGGGGTGGATAGGAAGCTGTTGAAGGATTTCAGATGTGCAATGAAAAGACTGAATATACACAAGCTAATATGGGAGGTTCCTACAACAGTGCATGCTAAGATGGCAGTAGCCTAAACTAGGAAGGAGGGGTGGAGGACAAACTAGATTTAAGAGATATCTGAGAGACAGAACCCAATAGAACTTGGTGATAACACTGGTAAATATGAATGTAAAGCTGAGAAGGAGTCAGAGTGTGTCTGTTTGGGATCTGGGTATATGGTGCTAATTCATAGAGAAAAAAACATACTGGAGGAATGAAGTTATGCGTGTGCGTGCACATGTGAATGTGTACAATGGGCAGGTGTTGATGGACTAGGTTTTAGACAGGTGGAGTTTGAGATGTTTGTGGAATGCTAGGATATTCTAGCTACACTCAACCCAATTATTTTTACTCCTTGGCCAACAGACAAAAGAAGAAGAATAGTAACCCTCTCTCATTGTGTGCAACAAAGTAAAAGGGCGGAAATATGTGTGATAAATCTATTGTAAAAATGAAATGAAATGGCTTCCAGAAAAGTAGCTATCAGGGCCCATGGTGAAGGGTCCCGCTCTGGTTCTTCCACTCAGGGTATATTTCTTTCTGGGTTGATATATGTGCTGATTTCAGCTCAGTTCTACAACTAGCTCAGGTTGCCATCATGCTGAAATCAGCAGTCCCTCCAGTTTGCAGCCACAACATTTTCAGTTGAGACTTGAGATACAGATATAGCAAAAGCGCTCCCACACCCTTCAGACTCCAGCCACACTGTTGACCTCAACACCTACCTCTTTCTTTCCCTCCTTTATCAAACTCTTGTACAATGAAATCCACTCAGCACAATTTTTTTTTTCATCACCTAGTTAATAAGAGTAGCAGTCAATAGGGCACTTGGTAGGGCAAGAACTTATTTCTATGATTATGGTTATGATTAGGGTTATAATTTCACCACTATTCCAGAAAAGCCACCCATAACAACTTCACACGCTATGTTAGCCCTGACTTTCCTTCCTCCAAGGCTTATAGAACAGTTCACTTTTCTTAAGTCAGTGGAAATAAAGGGTGTTTGTTTCATGTTGCTTTGACAAAGCCTGCTAATACTGCTATGTCTCTGATCAACGCTTTTGTAGGCAACTGTGAGAATCATGTGGGGGAGGAGCATGGGTGGGGAGAAGAGGAGGACTTTTCAAAATGACTTATGCCTACTCTTCACCCTCAACTAAATTTAAATATGCAGTCATTCAATTAATATGTATCGTTTGATCAGTAGATTTCAAATGTCCACTGTGTGCCAGGAGCCTCACCAAGGACTCAAGAGTAAAAAATGAAATAGCAGGTGATCTCTATCCTTGGTAAGAAGTCCTCCCCAGTAGAGAGGATTCTAATAAGGGCTCACCCAGCTGCTCAGAATAAGCATTCCTCTTTCTTCAAAACCTCTCTTCTTGGAATACTACCTTTTTTGAGATTTTATCTCATTTTCTATCCAGCCACTATGAATGAGTCTCCTTTGCTGGCTCCTTTCTCTACATATATGTTGTAAAGCTCCAGGGCTCCATTCTGATCCCTGTTTCCTTCTCTTTCTCCTCTTTCCTCTTTAGGAGATCTAACCCATTTCCTGCATCTTTCAGTACCAGCTATGTAATATTAAATACTGCCATGAATCCCCAGTTCATGTCTTCATGTCTTTCTTGAGAGCTCTAGGTTCATATGTTTTGTGAACATATGTTTAGTGCCTCTCTGCTTGGGTGTCTAGTGGTCATTGTGAACATATCTAATGCCCAGTTCTGTTCCTCATTCAAGCCTAGACTATTCCTCCACTTAATGTCTTTCTTTCTAATAAATAGCACTCCATCTCCCCAGTTGTTCACTCCAGAAATTTGGAAAATAATCCTTGATTTCTTCCTCTCTCTATTCCCCACATCTGAAACATCAATCATCAAGGTCTATCAATTCAACCTTCAGGATGTATGTCAAGTTCATCTGTTTATCTTCTTCTGTCCTGTTGGTATCCTCTTCCAAGTGCGGAAAAGTCTGCACTTCTGGGCTTCTCAGTAATCTGCTACCTGGTCTCCCTACTCGTCTCTCCGCACACTATCAATTTTCCACAGAGAAGCTGAAGTGAACTTTTAAAATTCTAAATCAAATCATGCATGTGACTCCCTAGCTAAATCCTTTAATAATTTCTCACTGCTCTTCTGGTACAAACTCCGCATGGCCCACAAGGACCTGATGACTTTACAAAATTGCCATTGGCCACTTGCCACAATCACTTTGCTTCAGCCACAGAGGCCTTTCTTAATTTCCCAAATGCATCAAAGTGTTTTCACCTGTGAGGCTTTTGTCCCTATTGCTCCTTCTACTAGGACACATAACCTCTGACTTTTCACACCATTCTTTTCTTTCTTCAGTCTCAACCTAAAGTTCTCCTCACAGAGCATGTCCTTGCCTGTTCATTTAAAAGAGGTCACCACAACGTTCTTTCCCTTCAGAGCTCTTTAACTCATAATCATAGACGTATTTACTCTTTCACTTTGTCTTTTCTTCTAGAATCTGAGCACAGAGCACTTGTGTTGTGTGGTTGCAGTTGTTCACCACTAAATCTCCAGCACCTGACATTCCGGCACACAGAGCAGGTGCTCCGTAAGTAGTTTCTGAATGGCCTCAACATGATTTGGACTTTTTACATCAGTAATGCCATAAGCGGAGAGAAACCTGGATGTTTATGAGTTTACTGTCATGCATTATTACATGCAAAGCAATGTATTAGGTCCCTTGGCAGATGCAAAAACGTATAAAGATAGGTCTTATTCTCAAGCAGCTTGTTATTTTTGAGACAGATGATATGCCTCACAGAACCAGACAATACAGTCAAATGTGAATGTCATATACATTGGGGCAGGAGGGACAGCTGGTTGCTAACAAATGGTATAGGCACAAGCAGCAGTCTCGAGACCCAAAGTTAGGTAAGTATAGGGCAGGGAAAATGAAAGAATTGATACAATACGTTGGGTAAAAAGTTGACATGAATTGTCAGGTACGGGTAATATAAGGAGAAATAAGGTATGATTGGCATCTTTAGGACAGGTGACTGAGGCAATGGTGATACGGTGAAAAACAATACAAAAAGCAACAGAGGAAAGGGTGTGAATGGAGAGAAAAGAGGGAATGTGTTTGGAGAATGCTAGGTGAGTTTTATAGCTGAGCCTGAGAAGGTGGAATAATCATAGATTTGTCTAGCAAGTGTTATTTTTTCTTTTGTTTTTGTTTTACCTTTTCTTCTTTTAATTTTTTTTTCTTTTAAATTTTTTAAATGTTCATTTATTTTCGAGAGAGAGACAGAAAGAAAGAG